GAGCCCTCAGCAACCCCACGGTTATCGGAGTACCCCCTCCGTCAGTCGGCAGTCCAGGGCACTGTGTGTCAGAGTGGATCGCAACGCGATTTTGCGAACCCCACTCCACCACCACAACAACGTTCATTTTTAAACAAACAGAGTTAGATTAGCCCGTTTAGAGGTTAGATCTGCACAATACAGCTACTCGCCTTATGATTACCGTCAATGTGTAACAACAACAAATTACGCGTATTGAGATTTTGTTTAAAATTGGAAAACAGCTACGTCTCCATTGACTCTGCAGATAAGCGCAAAATATGGATACCTTAGATAAAATATATTACGCGCAAAAAAAACGGATTGCAAGGCCCGGGCTACTCTTCAAACGAAAATATTACAAATAATGTTCTCAGGGATAACTAAAAATTTCTTTTTCAGCCATGTGCTTGATGACTATACGTCATAAAGCACTTGGCTGAAAAAGAAATTTAGTCGAGACTGGTTGGCCCAAATCGTTTGCAATGTGCAAATTGAGCAAAAATAGGTACTCGGTCTGTGACTTGCGAAAAAAAAAAATAGGTACTCGATCTGTGACTTGATCCAAGCAACGAGTGGCGGCGCAATGAGTGAGGCGGTTGAGAAGCAGCCTGGCAAGCAAGATGCGCCGGCTTTACAACCTCCCACCGACAGTGAAGGCCACCCCGTTCGCGAGTGGATCGATACGCTGCTTCAGGCGGCCGTGATCGCGAAGGACAAGCAAAAGAAACCGGTCCCTGGGCAGGATGAGGCTTCTACCACGGACGTTGCCGCTGATGACACAACTATTACTGCTGCTGCTAGTGAAGCAAATGCAGTAGTTCCAGCTGCTGAAACTCCGAGCGAAGCGGGTAAGGAGGTAGAAGACAAGACCGAGGCAACGCTTGTCCTAGATGCAACAGACGCCCTTGGAGAGGATAAAGCAGAAGCCCCAACGCTCGACAAAGCCGCACCTATTCCGGCTGCCAAGCGATACCGTCGCCGCCGTTGCGAAGTTGAAGGCTGCACCAAGGTAGGCATCCCAATATTTTCGGAATGCACAAGCGTCTATTGATCTCTTGGGCAATAACTGACACCTTATCAAAAGTTTGCTCGTTTTAATAACATGTGCTCCGGGCATGGTGGAAGGCGATTGTGTGGTGAAGCTGGTTGCGAGCGCGTCGCGCAGTTCGGCCACAAGTGCAGTAAGCATGGCGGGATAAAGTTCTGTAGTATCGAGGGGTGTCGTCGAGCTGTGCAGTCGCGCGGCTGCTGCAAGACCCACGGCGGAGGGGTGCGATGCCAACACCCTGACTGCACGAAGGGCGCCATCTCCAAAGGTTTCTGTCGATCACACGGTGGCGGGTCCCGTTGTGCGGAGCTTAACTGCCAAAAATGGGCCCAACGCCACGGATACTGCGTACGCCACTCAAAGACTATAAATGAAGTTAAGCCGACACCAATCCAGCCAGATGCGGAGCTCATAGGGGACGCAACAATTCCATCGCTTGAGCCTCCACCGCCAATTAACATCTCGACCTAGCATCGTAGCAGCAACAAAGCTATTGCGAGTCGCTATGATCGAATCACAATGTGAATTGCACATAACATCTACCCGTAATACGGATCGGGGCTCACGCCCCAGCAAAGAAATGATCAACTTGACCAGCATCATTTCGTCTGTGTACACCACACCAGGAGCACTTTGAGCACAATGGTCAATGTGGACGATGCGATGTACCTTGAGGGATTCGCGGGTCAGTGCGTGGAGCTGACTCAAGTGTCAAAGTTCACCCCAGGGTCAATCCACCTGCTGACTTCCTTTGCGACGCACCGCGATACCCGTAAGGACGAACAGTCAATTTGGATGATACGTATCTAAAGCTAATGGCGTCCTGCTAGTGGTGGAAATTGCATGCAAAGAGCGGTTGAGTGACTGCTACTCCGGCAACCAGAAGACCCGACAGAGCGTGGAGCTCAAATTTGGGGACTTCGTGGACTATTATCAAGCGGCATTCAATAGGGCATCACATTGGTTGCAGACGGTGGACGACCTGGACTTTTATCTGGCACAGTGCTCCATTGCAGTGTTGAAGCCCGATGCAACCTGCAGCAAAGCGAGTCTGCCAAATATTATGGACGATCTCCGCATGTAAGTGATTTTCTTTTGACCGGTATTTCATATTCAGTGAGTTTGACTAATTACTCGGTGTTGCGTGGTAGGCCGACGTGTCTTCAGAACAAGCCTGTCACTCAAGTAAATCTATGGATGGCTGTGCAGTCCGGCCGGACAACGCTCCATTATGACGCGTACCATAATGTCCTGGTAGTTTTGTACGGAAAGAAGACTGTCACGCTGTACCCTCCATCAGAAACGGAGAAGCTATATCCATTTCCAGTACATACCAAGTCTATGAATCACAGCCAAGTCAGCATTGTGCAGCCCAACCTCGAGAAGCACTCACGTTTTCCCGAGGCATCTGCTCAACGATTCGAAGTCGTGGCAGGAGGTGCACTACTTTACTACGTTATCACCAACTCAAGTTGGTTCACTTGCGTTGAACTTGGTGATGCCAACTGACGTATTGTTGACTGTCTCAATTGCAGACGCTCTAGTGATCCCAGAGGGGTGGTGGCATCAAGTAGATTCAGACGAATTTACAATTGCGATCAACTACTGGTGGAATGGCGTTCGAGAACAACTAGTAGCAGATAAGCGCATGGTGCCTTACTATGCTCGCGTTATGCTGGAGGAGCTGGTCAAGCAGCAATGCGAGTCGCGTCTACTAGCCTTGCGGTGCTCGTCAGGAGCAAACACTGCCCACAACTTTGTCGACGAAAGCAGTGCGGTGGCAGCTTTTCTTGCGGCAAATGACCAAGCAGGTCGTGAACGGGTGTTGCTGTCATTGAGCAGCAAAGTCTTCGTGAAGACTCAACAGCTTCTCGCAACCGATCACGCGGAAGACTGGCGCAGTTTGCTATCGAATGCAAGTGTCGAGTTTGTGGCCGTCTTGACGGAGTGCTGGGAGAACGATGATCTGGAGCCTAGTTTCCTTGGAGTATTGTTTAGCGCTCTTGGAGACGTGGAAGAGACGATCAAGGAGCAGCTTGTGGCCAAGCAAGCGCAGTTCCGCCAAGACTGCGCTACGCAAATGTATCGGTCGCTGTTCGGCTAGCTAAAAACGTTGTCTAGGTTTAGACAAATTTTGTTATTTTTAGACGTTGAAGTTTTTTTTAACATTCAACGACTAAAAAGACAACTTTTTTTTACAAGAAAACAGCTTTCTGGAATCGGCCATTATGGCGCATCCATATAAACTCTGAATGTAATTGGCCGATTCTCAAGAAAGCTATTTCCTGAATTCTACTTTTCGCAAGAAAAGCTTTCTTGAAGAGCTCAACCACCGAAAAACAACTTGTTAAACGGCGGTGATTGGCCGTCATTTGCGGATAAATAGGACTGCCTTTTCCAATGCGTCTCAACAGCGCGATTAGCTATCGCGTCTGAACTGCTCGATTGTACGCAACTTTGTTCGGGTCGTGATTAATATCGATCGCACTTCTAAATTGACCTCATCAATCACCACAACTCAAGTCATCGACTATGACCAAGCTTGCCACTTTCGACGACGACGCCGCCTTGGTTGAAATCAAGCATCAAGCCAAGCGCCAGTGGAATGTGCAGCCATCGGACTTCGCGAACCTCTGCTCCAACCCCATCCGGAAGATCGTGGACAACATCAAGAAGCCCGCCACTTCGACCAAGACTCTAATCCCGCTATCACTAGGTGGGTATTTGGTACCTCTGCTCACAAGTTTTCAGGTCTGCAAACTAATTTTCGGTCGAATTATGATGCTTTACTTCAGGTGATCCGACGGTGTTTGGCAACTTGCACTGCCCCGACGTTCTAGTGCAAGCGATTGTCCGCAACACTCGGTTAGTTGAATACACGACTACTGATGGTGCACGTTTATACGAGCTGGAAACTGACCGCTTCATTTCTTTTGCTGTCGATTAGTTCAATGCAGCACAATGGCTACATTCACTCTGCGGGCTCCGAGGCAGCCCGTGCAGCTATTGCGCAGCACTTCGGAAACATGCGTGCTCCATTGACAATGGACGATATCATCATTGCCAGTGGCTGCTCGGGTGCCATCGAGATTGCACTGCGAGGCCTGTTGAACCCTGGTGACAACATCCTGCTGCCCAAGCCCGGATTTCCGTTGTACCAAGCACTATGTGAAGCGCACAAGATTGAGTGCAGATTCTACAACCTCAAGGTACGTCTTGTTCGAGTGAATTTTTTTTCGTAATGAATGAGATATTTAACGCATTGTGCGCGTTCTGATGGAAATAGCCGGAAAATAACTGGGAGGTCGATCTCGAGCACATGCAGTCTTTGGTTGATGACAATACGAAAGCTATCCTGGTCAACAACCCCTCCAACCCGTGCGGCAGTGTGTACTCAAAGGTGAAGGAAACGATGTCATGAGCTACGACTGTGTGACACTTACTGACGATTGATACTTTCTTTTATTTGGCTTTGTAGCCTCACTTGGAAGCTATCCTTGCATTGGCGGAGTTAAACAAGATCCCAATCATCGCGGTAAGCTGACTTGCGAGCATTTCTTCACCTGTGGAAGTCATTTACTCATATTTGCATCAATCGAACTGTAGGACGAGATTTATGGTGACATGGTATTCGGGAGCAACGTGTTCTTCCCCATGGCGGCGCTGACGAAGACGGTTCCAGTGGTTGCGGTCGGTGGCTTGGCGAAGCAGTTTCTCATCCCTGGCTGGAGAGTCGGCTGGGTCATGGTGCACGACCGCAATAGTATTCTAAAAGACGTGCGCACCGCTTACTTCAAGCTCTCACAGAACATCCTTGGTGCAAATTCTCTAGTCCAGGTACGATCTTCTCGTCAACGGTGGGCAGTTTTTTTTTTTTTAATAATTCTGTTTCCGTGATATTGTCGATGATTCGTGTCATCAGAGTGCAATTCCAGATTTGCTGACGCCGGTTCCTGGGAGTGCTGAGGAGCAGTCGTTGGTGAACTTTAAGAAGCGATACTTCGCGACTCTGGAGGACAATGCCACGTTTACTATCGACACCCTGGCGAAGATCCCGGGGCTCGAGGTGGTGGTCCCGCAAGGAGCTATGTACGCCATGGTGCGTACGAATTGCAACTTGATCCTCTTGGTTTTTGTACTTAGCTGATCGTCCCCTGTTTCACTTTTTGAGCAGGTGAAAGTCCAAACAGAAGTTCTTACGAAGATCAAGGACGATTTCGACTTCACACAGAAGCTTTTGGACGAGGAGTCTGTCTTCGTACTGCCCGGCCAGGTAAGCCATCCCTGATTTGCCAAGCGAGTTGTCTTTGATGGTACATCGACTAACTCGGTTTTATGGTGCTGACAGTGCTTTGGAATGACCAACTACTTCCGCATCGTGTTTTCGGCGCCGCACGAGGTTCTTGCGGATGCCTACACTCGCGTGGCCGAGTTCTGCCGCCGTTACCAGTGACCAAGGATAGCTTTAAGACCTTATCAAAATGTTGCTTCATGAACTCGATGAATATATAAATGAGCGTTTGCCTTTGATAAATCCAACCCGAGCGGCCATCAATTAGGTAGCGCGTTGTCGGTAAGAAATTCCAATCGGCCAATCGATATCCGTCTCATGACAATCTTGAGCTACACATATCAGGAGAATTAACTTGATTTTCTGAAGTGAATATTCAAAACATTTGGCCAATCCAGTCGCGCAGCACATTTTTTGGGTGTATTTCCGCACCAGCTGTTCTCTGTTCGCAAGGGGAGAGGTCGCCCATAGTGAAAACGCCCATAAGTGAAAAACGGAGCCAACGGCCTGACTGACTAGCTACACTCATGACCGGACAAAGTCTGCTGCTGCTGGCCGTGCTGGCGGCCGTCGCGCTGCTGCAGCACATGGTGGCGGGTGCGGCCGTCGACGGCGTGATCGTTGTGCGTGGCAACAAGCTCTACAACGCCAAAACGGGCGAGCGCTTTTTCATCAAAGGGGTGCGTTCGAACAGTTTTAAAATACCCAAAAGGATAGGAAGGAGCCAGCCGCCACGATCTAACAGCAAAGCACTGTTCGGCATTTTAAAAATGGGGAGACTATACTGATGAATGCTATGGTTCTTCCTTGTAGCTGACGTACGAGTACGCTGTGAGCGACGACTACTATGACAAGTACTCGAAGGCTGTGATCAAGGAGAACCTCACAGGCCTCAAGTATAACACGCTGCGTCTGTACAACATTAACCCCGGTTCCTCGTACAAGAAATTCATGAACGACATGGCTGAGCTCGGCGTTTACGTCATGGTCTCGGCCTCGCCCGACAACGACGCATACTACGGGAAGTACCGGTACTCGACCATCACGAAGAAACTGAGCTGCTCGGGTAAAGTATCCTCCGGTGACGGCGCTAAGACGGTGGACCAGACGGAGACGTGCTACCCGGCGCTGCTGCTTGAGTATGGCAAGAAGATTATTCAGAACTTTGCTCAGTACGACAACACTCTGGGCGTCGTCGTGGCCAACGAAATTATGCAGGCTGATCTCACTGCCGCCTCGTGTGTTAAGGCTTATGTAGCTGATCTGAAGAACTGGATGACAGTCAATGGCAAGAAGATTCGAATTCTGCCGCTCGCTTACGCTGCTGCTGACAGTAGTAACGACGAAGTAAGCAACGCAGACGACTACCACGTGATGAAGGTCCAGGGTTTACTTTGCGGAGACAAGATGACCAACGGTATGATGTCGGAGAGTATCGATATCTATCTGATCAATGAATACCGTTGGTGTCCTGATTCGACGTTCGCAGAGGCATACCAACGCTACATCGACATGGCGCAGGGCATTCCCATCGTCGTTGCTTTCGGCGAGTACGGTTGTAAGACTTCTTCGGCTACTCCACGTGACTGGGGAATGGTTCCGTATATGTACCAAGAGCCCTCGAAGACCAAGGAGTTTACAGCCGTTTGGTCTGGAGGTCTGGCTTACTCGTACGGTGAAGCCAAGCTTGCTAAAGACTCGCTGTTCCCGATGTTCACAGGTATGGGATTGTGTATAGCTGTCCAGAGCAGCTCTGACTTGGTCTTGATAATCTAACGTTTGTATTTAATTTGTAGGCGGTAGCACGGATTTCTTGTCAACGCCCAGTTCGAAGGCGACGACGGATTACACGAACCTGAAGGCCATGTTTGCCAAGTACTCCGGCTACACGGATGACGCAGAGTGGACTGACAGCACCAAGTGCTCGTGGAAGCCTACTGTAGAAACAAAGACACAGTCGACCAACAAGCTGGCAACAAAGTATGGCTGGATCGTGAGCAGTTGCTCGGCGAGCAACCTGAAGATCGCCAGCACAGACTCGTGGACGTGCTCCAGCCGTGAAGGCGTGGTTTGTACGGACGATGGTGACACGTGTGACGTGGCTTTGAGCAAAGCCGTTGGTACGACCCAGGAGGACATTTGCGGCACGTATGAGGTTACTAGCGGTGGTGGCACTTGCGAGACCACGTCTGACTGCGGAGGCAATGGCCAGTGCAAGGAATCGAACGGCACCATGTCGTGCAGCTGTTTGTCGTGCTACACGGGCACGGATTGCAGTGTCAAGGATATTAGCACCTGTGCGACTCTGAGTAGCTCGGACACGGCCCCGCAGAAAATTTTTGTCGGTATCGGTGTGTTCCTGGGTGTTATGGCCGTGGTCTTTATCGCCCTCGGCGTTGCCGCGGCCAAGAAGAAAGCTGGTAAGTATTTGATTGCATCGTGTTGCAGCGGCATTGTGATGTTCTGTTTTCCTGACGTTTTGGTGCTCTCGCTCTTTTTGATATTCAGAAACGGACAGATTGGCGCAGCAGGTGAAGGCTGGAGGCAACACCCAAACGACTGCTGCTTCCCTGTAGAGCGCTTAATTTGCGAAGGCGCTAGATCTGCTGTATTGAGGTGATTTCAATGAAGCATTTGATGGTTTATTTTGACAACAACATTGATCCCCAATAAAACCCGGTTAAATATCGGACCGATTCCCGTAGGATGTGTCGCGTACAGATCATAGATCCTGTAGTTTGTATTAATACAGGCTAATTCCATGGGATCATAGTGAAACCAAGTTTATTCCCTTTTAGCCAGAATCTGGCCCGCCTCGAAATCTGTCGGGTGAGCGAGGGGTTAAATTGGGCATGATTAGCCGTTCTATGGCCATTTAGCCGAAATCTGTCAGAAGTCGAGGCCGGTTCATTTTACCCAACCGCGAAAAAGGATAAATCTAAATAACCCAAATAAAATTTAACCCATGGCGACAGGACCAGAGACCAACTCAGCGCCATTCGCTTATTGCTCAAAGACCACACCGAAGTCTGCCACCATGCCGCCGAAGGGAAAGAAGACCGAAGAGGTAGCATGCTCCTTCTCTCTCTAACTGTAAGGTCTTCCTCTAACTGCACGCTCCTTCTCCTCGTAGCCCACCCGCACGTACCTGGGTCGCCCCGGTAACAACGTCAAGATCGGCATCGTTGGTGTTCCCAACGTGGGCAAGAGCACGTTCTTCAACTGCCTGTCGAAGCTGCACATTCCGGCCGAGAACTTCCCCTTCTGTACCATCGACCCCAACGACGCTGTGGTGCCGCTGCCCGACCAGCGCTTCAACTGGCTCGTTGAGAAGTACCAGCCCGCTAGCGTCGTGCCCCCCGTCATCTCCATCACGGATATTGCCGGTCTGGTGCGCGGTGCCGCCGAAGGCGCTGGTCTGGGCAATGCCTTCTTATCGCACATCCAGGCCGTGGACGCCATCTACCACATGGTGCGCGCCTTCGACTCGACTGAGGTGACCCACGTGGAGGGCAACGTGGACCCTGTGCGTGACATGAAGATCATCCAGGAGGAGCTGCGTCTTAAGGACATTGAGCGCGTCAAGAAGGAGTCGGTCGGTGTCAAGAAGCTCGCGGAGCGCGGTGTCGGCGGCAAGGAGAAGAAGCTGGAGTACGAGGCGTTATGCAAGATCCAGGAGTGGCTCGAGTCCGGCAAGGACGTGTCTTTCGGTACGTGGACGGCCCAGGAGGTCGAGATCCTCAACACGATGCAGCTGCTGACCGCCAAGCCCGTTGTCTACCTCATCAACGTGAGCAAGCGCGACTACCTGCGCAAGGGCAACAAGTACCTGCCCAAGATCGCCGAGTACATTAAGGAGCGCGGCGGCAACGAGCCTGTGATCCCGCTGAGCTGCGAGTTTGAGCTCGAATTGCTCGACCTCGAGGCTGCTGGCCAGCTGGAGACGTACTACAAGGAGAACCCGACGCACAAGTCGATTCTGAACCGCGTGCTCCGCATGGGTTACCACGCTCTTGGCCTGATCCACTTCTTCACGGCTGGCAAGGACGAGGTGCGTGGCTGGACCATTCGCAAGGGACGACTGGCACCGCAGGCTGCCGGTGTCATCCACACGGACTTCGAGAAGGGCTTCATTATGGCGGAAGTCCAGTCGTTCGCCGACCTCAAAGAGCGTAAGTTTGGACGCCCTTCCTACTCGTGTTGCTGCTTATTAGTTGATCTGACGTCGGATGTGTTTAATACTCTTCAGTGGGCTCGGAAGAGGCTGTCAAGAAGGCGGGCAAGCTCAAGCAACAGGGCAAGAAGTACGAGGTCCAGGACGGCGACATTATTTTCTTCAAGTTCAACAACTAAGTGGATCAACTGCCCGTGGTGTTGAGTAAGTCAAGCAACTGTGGTGCTGAGGCCCTCCCCTCCTCCTATGAGTGGATTGTAGTTTTTGAGAGCCTGTTGCAGATGATGTCTACGCGTCTAGAGCATGTGGACTTGACGGGCGCGGTTGCAGAGCATTCCGCACTGAAAATAAAGCATGCGCTTTGATCTCAAATCTACTGATGTATGAAGTAGGAGTTTAAGCTGGAACGCGGATTGATGCTTGTGTTTGCGTGGCAGGACAAACTATAACGGATGCGATGAAAAGACTGCAAATATCTTGGATCTACGCAACCGGTCGCGCCTCTTGAATGGTTTTATCCGTCTCATCCCGTGAGAGACAGCAGCTATTGGCTCCATTTTGCTTGGTGAAGGGAGTGAAATTGCCAGGACAAGAAGTTGAAGTGTTGAAGGGCGTAAGGAATTCCATCGGAGAAGCAGATTCCAATCTAAGCATACTCCAGCTCGGACAAAGCCGAAATGGTGCGTCGATAAGCGTTTGTTTTGCTGGATTGAAGTAGTCTGCTGAAAATTCGCTTCGATGTTCGCATTTTGACAGCCGATCGGGTACGGATGCGAGCCCGAGTTGGTGTGGATTGCACCGAAGCAGAATGGAGAGATTCCTGTTAAAAGGTCAGGGCACTCGTTCACACTGAAAAGCTCGGACACAGAGACTGCAGTCTATATGTTCGGTGGATGCGATCATAAATCGCCCCCAGGACCCACCAACGAACTCTACCGACTGGACGTCACCAATGGTAGGAATTTATTTAGTCCTATCAGCTAACAAAGTGGTACGAACTGAACGTTGTTGGTGTAATGGCAGGCTACACCTGGTCCAAGATAACTAGCACGCAGAGTGATGACGATGTACCAGCACCTCGATGGCGACATTCCGCCATTTTGTTTGAGAAGAATATCATCATCTTTGGAGGTTTCGCGGCTGAAAAGAGAATGAACGACCTGTGGATCTTCAATACTGAATTGAAGGTGTGGGAGCAGAAGTATGCACAGAGTTTCTGGGAGGGGTTGCCACAATGTCGTGGAGCTCATAGTGCCACCCTTGTCGGTGAGAAGATGTACGTGTTTGGAGGCTACGGTGGCAATGGCTTTGGTCGTACCGACTTCAATGACCTGCATGCATTAGACTTGCATTCATTCAAGTGGCAAGAAATTCAAACGGATGGTGAAAAACCAGAACCTCGCTCAGGGCACCAAAAGTGCTTGGTTAAAGAGCAATTACTGGTCATTGGCGGATGGAACAGCTTCAAGCAGTTCCAGGACATCTTTGTCTTCGACTTACCTACAAAAACATGGAGTTTTCTGAGCACACCACTGTATTCTCCTATCTGGAATCACACATGCGTCAGTGTTGCAGCTGTACCGCACTGGAAAGTGTTCTTGTTTGGTGGCAACAGTGGAGATTTGGCCGAGTCTGGAACGGCACAAGGGGCTTACTTGAATATCACTGCCGTGTTGGACACTGGCAGTATGGTGTGGCTGAATCCACCGGTGAAAGGTGAACTCCCAAAGGCACGTGCTGATACTGCTATGGTTTTCGATGCACACACCAACCACTTGATCTTCTTTGGAGGGTGGGCGAATCGCTGGTATAACGACTTACACGTCCTCAACGCAAGCGAGATTGTTGGACCTCCGTACTCAATTTCGTCGATCGAACCGAAGCAAGGGCCGATCACGGGAAACGCCAAGGTGAAAGTTACTGGATTCAATTTCACAGGCCAAAATGCGACGCTGCGGTTTGCAGTCGCAAAAGGTTCTGTGGACGTGACGGGAGCTGTCCTCAGTCCTACTGTTCTTCAAGCTACAGCTCCCAGCTTCGAGAAGTTTGGGCCATTGACTTCAGAGGTGCGAGTGTCATTGTCTGGCGGCATGTACACAAACGTAGCGACGTCCTTCCGGTTCCACTCGGTCACTGCAGCTCCAAAGTCGTTAGCGTTTGGTCCGTGTCTGATCGCTGCACTCAGCGATAACTGCTTGGCTGAGTTGCCAACGACGTTCATTATCCAGTCTCGAGACAAAGATGATAATCCTCGCGACTGTGGAGGAGATGAATTCAGTATTAGTCTGAAGTATTGTGATGACCCGCAAGCCGAAGTGGAGCAGGTTACGTCTATCCTCGACAAGAACGACGGCACGTACGTGGTGACATTTACTCCATCTCGAGCAGGGAAATACGAGATCTCGGTGGACTTCACGGGTACCTTCAGTGGTATCGCTGGCCCCATTCGAGGCTCGCCATTTACGGCGATGTTCCAGCCCCCGTCGGATGATAACAAGGCCAAGTGCTTACCACCGCTTGCCACTCAAAAGGATTTCGACTCGCCCGAGGTTATTAGGCGTGTGATGGCAACGATGAACAAGCGGAACGGAGAATTCCGCCGAATTCTGGTTGATCTTCGGAAGGATATTCCAAGTAATGATACGGATGGACTGGAAACTCTGCGGAAGATGAAAGAAATCATTCGTAAACTTGAGATAGACAAGGACACAAACCACTTGGTTTTGGACCAAGTGCGACAACTTTTCTTTAACATCAAGAAGAGCGGAGGGCATGTCGATAAAGAACTGGTAGAAATCGAGAGTATGGAGAAGCTCTTTGTTGATGTCGAGAAACAAATTCCAGTAACTGAAAAACGCACCCAGGAACCTACTCGGATATTCAGCGAGAAGACTGAGGAGAAGATCATCGCCTACGAGAAGATGATCGCGCAAAAGATGGAGACTCTCAAGACACTGGACTTCTGGTCCTCTAAGCTAGAGCCTGATAAGGGTCTGGAGAAGATCGAAAGCTACCTGGTGGACTGGAACATGGAGATGAAGAAGTGCGAGGAAAATACCAAGCTGTGCTCTATCTTTGGATTCCCGCAGCTTATGAATGAATCGCTTCGCATGATGGGTCTTATGCGTGCAGATGCAGATGCAATGAAAACCGTGTGGGCAATCATTAAGCGTGCGAAAGGCTTCTTTAAGGCGACACAAGACATTTTATTCAAAGAAGTTGATGTGAACGTGCTGCAGATCGAGGTACAATCTGCTCTAAAAGAGCTTAAGAAGATTCCTAAAGGCATTCAGTGGAGCGATGCGTACACTTCGATCTTGAAGGAATGTCAGGCGTTTGATAAGACCCACCCGCTTATCCGTTGTGTGTCGTCAAGTTACATGCGCCCGAGACACTGGAAGCGTATCATGGCTCACACAGGAGAGTTTCCTACTCCGGATGAAGATCCTGAGCAACGACTCTCTTTGATCCTGAGTAAAAATCTTTTTAACTTTAGCTCGGACATCAACGAGATTTGCTACGAAGCCGAGAAGGAGCAAGAACTCGAACTCCGTTTGATCGAGCTAGAGGCTCTCTGGGCAGAGGTGAACTGGGAAATGACGCCATACAATCCAGGTGCTGGAGAGGAAGACATTGTGCCGCTGCTCAAGGTGTCCGAGGAGAACTTCGAGCTCCTTGAAACCCACCAAATTGATGTGCAAGGTATGAGTGCGTCGCCATATCAGTCCGAGTTTGAGCCTCGCGTTGCCAAGCTTCAAATCGGTCTTTCCTCCATCAACGAAGTCGTGCTGTTGCTGGGCGATATCCAGAGATCTTGGAGTTACTTGGAGCCGCTGTTTATCCAGTCTGAAGAAGTGAAGAAGCAGTTGCCCGAGCTAACGTCCGACTTCGAAGATATCGATAGAGAAGTCCGCCAAATCTTGAAGACTGCTTGGAAAACGCTTAACGTGCAGGAGGCATGTACGGAACCAGGTCTCATCAAGCGACTAGAGGTAATCGTGGAAAAGCTGGAGTTATGCAAGCATCGTCTCAAAGAGTTCCTCGACGGGCGTCGTCGCCAATTTCCCCGTTTCTACTTTATGTCTGAAGCAGACTTGCTTGATATCTTGTCGAATGGGTCTCATCCGGACCGTATCATGCCTCACTGCTCAAAAATCTACCTGGCAACGAAGACGCTAACCCTCGTGGACCGTGGACCCGGCGAACGGCCAGTCGCTACGTCTTTCGTTGCTGGTGTAGGTCACGAAATCGTCGACTTCTTTGAGCCCCCAGTGCTCGAAGGAGAGGCTGAGATTTACCTGGAAACCATCATGCGTGCGATGAGGTTGACTCTATTCAAGCACATTGAGCGTTCACTTGTAGCCTATACGGAAATGCCTCGTGTCGAGTGGATCAACTTTAAAGATGATACCAACAAACCCATGGATGCAGCCCAGATCATTCTGCTCGCAGCAGGAGTGCACTATGTTCAAGAAGTTGAACGTGCTTTCCGTGGTATTCAGGGCGGTGACAAGGATGCCTTGAGAAACTACAACAAGATGCAGGAGAAACAACTAGAAGACCTGATCAAGCTCACGCAAAGTAACATCTCGTATGCTGAGCGACAGCGAGTGATGGTGCTCATTACGATGGATGCTCATGGCCGAGACATTGTGGCAAACATGATTCGTGCTGGAGTGGAGGAGGCGACGCACTTCCAGTGGCAATCTCAGCTAAAGCACTACTTCTCACCAGCAGCGGGTAGTTTCCTGAAACGTGACATGACCTTCCGTGGAGCGAACAATGCACGAGCTCAGATTCTTATCTGTGACGCTGGTATTCCGTACGACTACGAGTATCTTGGAAATGGCCCTCGACTTGTGATTACCCCACTGACAGATCGAATCTACGTGACAGCAACACAAGCGCTAAACTTACAGATGGGATGTGCTCCTGCTGGTCCCGCTGGAACTGGCAAAACGGAGACGACCAAGGATTTGGCCAATGCTTTGGGAAAAGTGTGCTACGTGTTTAACTGTTCGCCCGAAATGGATTTCAAGAGTCTTGGAAACATCTTCAAAGGTCTCGCGTCGTCCGGTTCGTGGGGTTGCTTCGACGAGTTCAATCGTCTAGTACCAGAGGTATTGTCGGTGTGTTCTGTCCAATTCAAGGCTGTGTGTGATGCATGCAAAGCTGACGACGAGAAGTTTATCCTGGAGAACGACGAGGTGATGCTAGACCCTACAGTTGGTGCATTCATTACTATGAACCCCGGTTATCTAGGACGTTCCGAGCTGCCTGAAGGTCTGAAGGCGTTGTTCCGACCCATGACTGTCATGGTGCCTGATCTGGTGTTGATTTGTGAGAACATGCTAATGGCTGAAGGATTCACCCAGGCCAAGATCCTGGCATCCAAGTTCTACGGCTTGTACTCTTTGCTTGGACAGCTCTTGTCCAAACAATTACACTACGATTGGGGTCTTCGAGCTGTCAAGAGTGTCTTGTGTGTCGCTGGAGCATTCAAGCGTGCCGAGCCGGACATTCCGGAGACCGACTTGCTCATGCGTGCGTTGCGAGACTTTAACATCCCGAAAATCGTCGCAGAGGATATGGTGGTGTTCTTTGGTCTGCTCGGAGATTTATTCCCGCGTGACAGTCCGAATGTGGACGTACGCAATGACCCTCCACGTAAGCGTGATATGGAGCTTGAATCAATGGTACAGGGTGCATCAGAAGCCATTGGTAACACGCCTCGCCCAGAATTTATGCTGAAAGTTGTGCAATTATCGGAGCTGCTCGCAATTCGTCACTGCGTCTTCGTAATGGGACCCCCTGCTTCTGGCAAAACGGAGACGTGGAAGACTTTGAAGAAGGCTCGGGAGATCATGGGCACACCAATGGAAGTGCAAGATTTGAACCCAAAATCGGTGAGTACCAACGAACTCTACGGATATATCGTGCTGAAGACTCGTGAGTGGAAAGATGGTCTGCTCTCGCGCATTATGCGTGATCTGGGCTCTCGACGTCGGGACAATGGGGATGAAGATAACAACCCCAAGTGGATTATTCTAGACGGAGATCTTGATGCCAATTGGATCGAGTCGATGAACTCGGTCATGGACGATAACAGAATGCTGACGCTGGCCTCGAACGAGCGTATCCCACTGAAAGTTCACATGCGAATGATCTTCGAGATCCGTGATCTTGTGTACGCCACACCGGCGACCGTGTCACGTGCTGGTATTCTGTATATTTCAACGTCAGAGGGCTACCAGTGGCGCTGTTTGATTGACAGCTGGCTCGATCGCCACTGCCAGCAACCGGTTGATCACCGATTGAAAAATATGATGTTCACACCCGACACACGCGCTAAATTCCAAGGACTTTTCGATCAATATGTTGAGACAACGCTCAGATTCTTCCGCAAGAAGCTTGTTCCTGTTGTGCCAGTGGAGGAGACGACGCTGGTGACTAACTTGTTGAACATGATCGACTGTCTGTTGACTCCTCAAGTCCTGGAAGACTACACAGTGATGCAGAACACGTTTGTATTCTGCTGCGTGTGGTCATTTGGCTCCATCCTAACGATGAGTGACGATGGGACAGATTACTCAGCAGAATTCAGCAACTGGTGGAAGAATCAGTGGAAGGATGTGAAGCTCGTGGCTTCGGCTAGCAATACGGTGTTTGATTTCTGGCTGGATCCAGAGACGTCCAAGTTTAATTCGTGGTCCAAGAGTCCATACTTCTACACGGAGACGTACGTATCTCCAAGTCCAATTAACCAGATCACGGTTCCTACCACCGAAACGGCATCGATTGCATTCTGGCTCGAGAATTTGATTTCCAAGAGTGTTCCGGTCATGGTGTGTGGACCTGCAGGTACGGGTAAGACGCAGAATATTATGGGTATGCTGAAGAAGCTCAGCAAGGACGAAGCTACTGCTGCGTTCCGCTATTGCACTATCAATTTCAACTTCTACACCACAAGTGCTATTCTACAGCAGACTATGTTCGGACAACTGGAGCGTAAAACTGGTATTAACTTGGGTCCACCGGGCAAAGCAAGACTTATCTACTTCATGGACGATCTGAATCTACCCGAAGTGGATCCGTACAACACGCAGAGTGCTATCTCGCTGTTGCGACAGGTGATGGAGTACAAGCATTGGTTCGATCGTGTTAAACTCCAGCCGCAGAACATCTTGAACACGCAAGTAGTATCTGGTATGAACCCGACTGCAGGTTCGTTCCTGGTTGATCCGCGGCTTCAGCGCCACTTCTGTACGTTTGCTATGGGTATGCCTGAAGCGCCAAGTCTGGTCACAATTTACGAGACGTTCCTGGGTGGACATCTATCTGGATTCGCGGATGAATTGAGCAATTCACAGTTCTCCAACGCGCTTATCAAGGCTGCGTTGAGTCTACACGCCAGTGTTGTGGGCACATTCCGAAAGACCGCTGCAAATTTCCACTACGAGTTCAACGTTCGTCACTTGTCCAACGTGTTCCAGGGGCTTATTGCATCTAAGAAAGATCGCTTCAATAGTCAGGAGAAGTTTGTGCTGTTGTGGCTGCATGAGAGTGAACGCGTGTACGGCGACCGACTGGTGTGTAAAGCTGATATCGAGAAGTACAACCAACTTGTACAGATGCAAGTGAAAAAGTCGTTCGCGTCGTGTAATACGAGTCGATACTATGCGGCTGAGAACTCGTGGCCTCTCATTTTCTGCCACTTCGCGAAAGATGGCGATAGCGAATACGATCAAATCATGGGAACGAACCTGGATGATCTCAAGATGAACCTACAAGTCCAGTTACGGGATTACAACAACAACGAGAATAATACTGCGATGCAGTTAGATCTCTTCGATGATGCGGTAAAGCACGTGGCTCGTATTGTTCGCATCTTGCGCAATGAGAGTGGACATGCTCTGCTAGTAGGCGTGGGAGGTAGTGGTAAGCGTTCACTAGCACGCTTGGCTTCGCACATCTGTGGCTATACTGTTCGTCAGATTACGATCAGCTCCAAGTACGGCGAGAACGAATTTAAGGAAGATCTACGCAAGATGCACATGGCAGTGGTGGAGATGCTGTCCCGTAACGAAGAGGACGGAGGCGTTGTGTTCATGCTTACAGATTCCCAGATTACCAACGAAAAGTTCCTCATCTACTTGAACGATCTGCTAGCCTCAGGCGAGATTCCAGATCTGTTCGCCATGGAAGATATGGACAATATCGTCAACTTATTGTCACCTGTAGCCGGAACAAAAGACCGAAAGGAAGTGATTAAGTTCTTCCAAGCCGAGATTCGCAAGCGTCTGCACTTGTGTCTATGCTTCTCGCCTGTGGGCGATGACTTTCGTAACCGAGCGCGTAAGTTCCCTGCACTTGTAAACTGCACGGTTATCGATTGGTTCCAGCCATGGCCCAAGGAAGCTCTGCTGTCTGTCGGTCGTGAAAAGTTAAAGGAGATTGGGGATTTGCTTGGGTCGGAAGAATCTCGCGCTGGCATCGAGAAGTTTATGCCGTTCTCGTTTCAGTCGGTGAATATCTGTGCTGAGCGGTTCTTCCAAGTCGAACGCCGTCATGTTTACACGACACCGAAGTCCTATCTGGAGTTGCTTCAGCTGTACAAGAAGATTCTGCGCAAGAAAGTAGAGGAATATGCTGCAGCTATCGATCGCTTAGAGAAAGGTTTGCAGAAATTAAAGGAAACGGGAGATACTGTGTCACGGCTTGAGGTGGAGCTTAAGGTCATTCTTGAGGCTGCTGAAGACAAGAAAGCGGTGGCGTCTGGTATCGCCGAGGCCGTTAACAAAGAGAAAGCCAATGTGGAAACGGAGAGCAAGAAGGCTGGTGATGAAGCTGCCAAGTGTGCCATTATCCAAGCTGAAGTCACGGAGAAGCAGAGATCGACACAGGAGGATCTTGCAAAGGCTGAACCTGCGGTCGAACAAGCCATGGCTGCACTGGACTCATTGAACAAGAAAGATCTGGGCGAGTGTAAGACCATGTCGAAACCACCTGCTGGTGTAGACGACGTCTTCTCAGCCACGATGGTGCTGCTAGCTGGTGTGCACCCGAATGTGCAGGTCACCAAGACTGGTAAAGTGAAGGATGTCAAGTGGGATACCGTCAAGAAGCAGCTTCTTGGTAACATTCCCGAGTACATCGACTACCTGGTTGGCTTCAAACAAGTCGTGGACGATGGCAAAGTGCCTCCCAATAACTGGAAAGAAGTGCGCGTTTACTTGGAGATGGAACACTTTAACTACGACACAATCCTGACGAAGAACAAGGCCGCAGCCGGTTTGTGTTCCTGGGTGATCAACATCGTCATGTACTACGATATCGTGGTTACTGTAGAGCCTAAACGTCAGGCCTTGGCTGCTGCAAATCTCGAGTTGGAGGCTGCAAATGCTCGTCTTGCCGAAGTGACTGCGCTCGTGGCTGATCTACAGGCAAAGCTCGACAAATTACTCGCTGAAGCCGCAGCAGCCGAGAAGGAGAAGGAAGACGCCATCAATGCTGTAGAAACCGGCAACCGCAAGATGAAGCTCGCAGGAACTTTGACCAATGACTTATCAAGCGAGAACGTTCGATGGGGTATCAACGTGTTGCAGCTTCAGAAGGAGAAGGACTTGCTGGTTGGCGACGTGTTGCTTGCCTCGGCCTTTATCTCTTATATTGGTCCATTCACCAAGCCATTCCGTGACGAGCTGATCAACAAGCACTGGGTACCGTATCTGCGTACTGCTGCCAATGGTGAAAGTATCGCCATGTCCGAAGAAGCGAACCCGCTACTTATTCTAACGAATGATGCTCAGATTGCCCAGTGGAACACGCAAAAACTGCCATCCGACCGCGTGTCAACCGAGAATGGTGCCATTGTAGTGACCACGGTATCTATGGGACGACGACCGCTTATCGTCGACCCGCAACTGCAAGCTATCGCGTGGATTCGTGAGATGGAAGCACATAACAACCTCATCATTGTGCGAGTGGGTCAGAAAATGTGGATCGAACGTCTCAAGACGGCTATTGGCACAGATGGTGCGTTCCTAATCGAGAATCTGGGCGAGAAGATCGACCCCATTCTGGCTCCAGTGATCCAGCGTTCAACCTCCCGACGTGGTGCGCGGTACGAGATCCAAATTGGTGACGCATCTGTGCCGTACAACGACAATTTCCACTTGTATCTGCACACGAAGCTGGGTAACCCACATTATCCGCCTGAGATCCAAGCTGAATGTACCATCGTGAACTTCACTGTCACCATGCTTGGCTTGGAGGATCAGTTATTGAACCTTGTGGTGTCTAAAGAACGTCAAGATCTCGCTATTAAGCGCGAGAAGTTGATTCAGGAGCAGAATAATGGTAAAATCGAGTTGAAAAAGCTAGAGGATGATATCCTGTTCTACCTGGCTAGTGCTGACGACGATATCACGAACAACCAGCCACTTATTCAGATTCTGAGTGACACGAAGCACAAGGCCCAGCGTACGCAGAACAACATGGAGGCAGCGAAGAAGACGCAAGAGTCGGTGAATATTACGAGTGAAAAATACCGCAGTATCGCCGCGCGAGGCTCTCTTCTATTCTTCCTCATGAACGACATCAGTAAGGTGCACTCGTATTACATCTATTCGCTCGCGTCGTTCCAGCAGGTCTTCTTGTCTGGCATCTATCGTGCTCCTCCAGCAAAAAATCTCATCGCCAAGGAAGCCGATGGAGATGCAGAAGGTGAAGCTGCCGCTGCAGCTGAACCTCCAGCAGAAGGTGGTGAAGGTGGAGAAGCTGGCGATGAAGAAGCAGAGGAGACTGAACCTGCTGTCCCAGATCTTACAGATGAGGAGATGAAGGAACGTTGCCAGGTGCTTATGGATAGCATCACCTCGTGCGTTTACAACTACGTTCGTCGTGGCCTCTTTGAACGGAACAAACTGACTGTCGCTACGATGCTGTGTCTGAAAATCTTGCTGAAAGATGGTTTGTTGAACGATATTGAAGTCGAGTATTTCCTTATTAGCAAGGCTCATCCGGATGCAGGTAACGCTGGCTCGGCTTCAGAGTGGCTACCCGCTGCTATCTGGGCTAAATTGAAAGCTCTCGAGAGTCTAAAGGCGTTCGGTGGACTGGGAGACGCCATTCAGAATGACCCGGACGAGTGGAGAAAGTGGTTTGCTACCGAAGACGCGGAGCGACAGAAAGTTCCTGGTGACTTTATCAAGCTGACTGCGTTCCAACGACTGATTCTGCTACGTGCCATGCGACCTGATCGAGTGACGAACGCATTGCGAACCTTCATCCTGGAGTCGTTGGGTGAAGAGTACGTGACCCAGCCACCGTTCAACATGGAGGCAACATACGCAGAAACGAACTCGAGTATTCCCATCTTCTTCGTGCTGTTCCCTGGCGTAGATCCGACGCCATGGGTCGAAACACTTGGAAGAGCTAACGGGGTGAGTCTGGAGAACAACAACTTCATCAACATCTCCATGGGACAAGGACAGGAAGCGTACGCCGGTGAAGCTTTGAAGCGATTAAGTACTGAAGGTGGCTGGATCATCCTGCAGAATGTCCACTTGATGCAGTCCTGGTTACCGACACTTGAACGGCAACTGGAAGAGGTGGCAACTGAAGGCGCACACGATCTGTTCCGATGCTTTATCTCCGCTGAACCACCTCCTTTGCCGGACATGTTGAATATTCCTGAGTCACTGCTTCAGAGTTGCATCAAGGTGGCTAACGAGGCACCGTCTGATATCCAATCGAACCTGCGTCGTGCCTGGGCGAATTTCGGCGAAGATAAAGTGCAGGCATGCACGAAACCTGCCGAGTTCAAGGCTTGTTTGTTCGCGCTTTGTTGGTTCCACGCAATTGTGCTTGGACGACGACGATTTGGACAACAAGGATGGAGTCGAGCCTACAGCTTCAACACAGGAGACCTCACGATTTGTGCCAACATCCTGCATTCATACCTGGACAACAACTCCTCCGTTCCGTGGGATGACCTCCGCTATCTGTTCGGTGAGATCATGTATGGTGGACACATCACGGACGCCTGGGATCGTCGTACAAACAATACGTATCTAGCCGTTCTGATTGATCCGGGACTTCTTAACGGCATGGAACTCGGTCCAGGCTTCAAGTCTCCCAACCCTCAAGAGTTTTCGTTTGCCGACTATGCGAACTACATCGAGAAGAATATGGTTCCCGAGGCACCACCGCTCTTTGGTCTTCACCCGAACGCTGAAATTGGCTACCTTACTACGACGTGTGAAACATTATGCTACACTATAGTGACTATCGGCGGAGGTGCTGGTGGTGGCGGCGGTGGAGAGGAAGGAGGCGGTGATAAGACGGCAGCATTGCGTGCATCTATCGACGATTTGGAGTCGCGTTGTCCCGAGTTCTTTAACATGCTGGACGTAGTTGAAGCCGCCACGCCTCACTTGACTGAAGAGCACGGTCCGTTCGTGGTTGTGGCACTACAAGAGTGCAGCCGCATGAACGTTCTACTTCAGGAGATCCGGTTATCGTTGGGCGATCTCAAGAAGGGTTTGAATGGACAACTCAATATGTCACAAGCCATGGAGGACTTGGCCACAGCAATGTCCCTGAACGAAGTGCCTGGACGCAACCCGTTCTCGCAGTGTAAATGGGAGAAAAAAGCTTGGCCGTCGACGAAGTCACTGAGTGGCTGGTTCGCTGACATGGTCAAGCGTTATGAACAGCTTGTCATGTGGGCTGGAGACACCACTGGAGGAGGTGGAAACTGCTTTGTCACTCCGTTCTCGATCTGGTTACCAGGTCTCTTTAATCCCACAGCCTACACGACGGCATGTCTGCAGGTTACATCTCGTAAGCGGTTCATGCCACTTAACCAGATGACAGTGGAGACTCACGTGACTACGATTCAAGACCCTTCTAGTGTGTCATGTTACCCGGACGACGGCGTGTTCGTGCATGGATTGATACTGGAGGGTGCGCGATGGAGCACACTGGACGAGATCAACGAACGCTATCCAGTAGGTGCGTCGCCGCCTACAGAGTGTGGTGGCACATTGCTGGATAGTCACCCCAAGGAGCTGCTCTGGGGTATGCCTGTCATCTACGTCAAGGCCGTGACCACGTCCCCAACGTGGGAACCTTCTTCAGTGGGTTATCTGCGTCATGACCCCAACATCTACGAGTGCCCAGTATACCTCACACGGTTCCGTGGCCACACCTACATCTTCTTGGCGACGCTGCCTACGGACTGTGGCAGTGCCAAGTGGGTGTTGCGTGGCGTCGCGCTTATCTTCCAGGACGACAACTAGCTGTCGATCGCTCTTGAATGTACGCAACAACCATTATCAAATGACGAAAACATGCATGTAACAAATCAATACATGTGAAAAAAAAACTATGCAGAGACTAGTTCATTTCTCCTACTCCTTATTCTCCTTTTCCTTCTGCAGAGCCAGCATCTTTTTCAAGAAGCTGCCGTCATTAGGGATCTCTGGGACACCTCCGGGCGTCTCTGGAACGTGCTCTTTACTGTCTGCACTGTTCTTTTCTTCTTCTTCTTCTCCATCCATAGTCCTGGCCTTGGCTCGTTCTTTACGACGACGCCGTTTCTCAGCACGCTTGTGCATTTTCGCCTCAAATTCCTCGGCGTTGCGTTTACGCTTGACCTCGAACTCTTGCTGCGCCTTGTTCTCCTTGTAGCGCTGCTCCATGGCCGCCACGCGTTCCATCTCTCTGTCAAAAACATGTTAGACTAAAGTACTCTCCAGCTAAATGAACGTCGCCTTCCTACCGTCTCCTAGAGGCGCGGTACGTGTGGAAATCGCCACTACCGGCGCCGGCGGAACTGCCGGACACATTTTCCACGCGGTTGACGTGAAACTTGCCATCCTTTGTGTCACTAGCAGAAGAACCTGTCGCACTAGAAGCCGCTGTGTACGCGACTGCGGCGCCCTGCGCGTCCTGGTCGCTGAAGGTCTGCACACTCGTGTATCGGCCCATGGATGCAAGATAATTTACCGCACGAAAGTTTCAATACAACGTTTCTTCTTACGTAAATTAATGTATTACACACAAATTAACGTTACAAACGCTAATTATCGGACGCTTGGACGAGTGGGCATCATTGCTAGCATTCTGCGGTCAAGAAGAGCGGCTACGTAGACAAGCATGAGCAAGATCGCGCAGGCCTCTAAGGTGGCATGGCACGTGGTGGATGCCAAGGGTCAGGTGCTGGGCCGCCTGGCATCGCAGCTGGCGCCCATTCTGCGCGGCAAGCACAAGCCCACGTACGCTCCTAACGTCGACTGCGGCGACTACGTGGTGGTGATTAACGCCAAGGACATTGTGCTCACTGGCAACAAGTGGAACAATAAGTTATATCGCTGGCACACTGGCCACCCGGGTGGCCTCAAGCAGCGCACGGCCAAGGAGTTGTTTGAGCGCAAGCCCGAGGAGGTACTGCGCAAGGCCGTGTATGGTATGCTGCCGCGCAACCGCATGCGCGCGCTGCAGGACAAGAAGCTCAAGATCTTCATGGGCGAGGAACACGACTTTGTCAAGGAAGTGGGCGAGAACCCCGTCATCTACTAAGATATAGAGACAGGAGAGAAGGTGGTGAGGGAGGAATACACGACTGTATTGTGGACCTGCTTGGTATGTGTTTATGCTGCTAATTCTGTGGATGTAGGCACGTTGTCTGTGGTTTCTTGCTGCTGTAGAAGCTCACGTTCTTGCTCTTGTAGCTCAAGTTGTTGTCGAGCTTCTTCTTGTTGGAACTGATGAAGCAGGTCGTCGCGAGTGCTCATGGCCGTGAGTAGACCTTCAATATCGACGAACCCGGACTGCTTCATTGTGAAGTTTGCAGCGATCTGTCATGGAAAACAAGCAGGAAGTACGAGTTAGTGATCATTCTAGATATGGTGCTAGTATTGCGGCTATTACCTCTGCGATAATGTGTGCGGGACATCGTCGCCAAACGTCAGGAAGTGCATCGGGTAGAGATGTCAGAGCTGTCATCGTCTCCACTACAGTGATGAGAGGGACGAGTCCAGAGTTATCGACGGTCTGAGAGGTCAATGCTACATGAAGGCTCTCGCATTGGCGAGGGTTGGGAAGCAGCTCGTGGGATTCTTCAATAATGGGAGGTGTATCCGGAGAAGCTTGAGATAGCAATCGTCTACCTTTATCGACACGCACCAGCGTATCTTCGCGCAACTGCACAGTTGTTGGGAACCTCTCGATGAACTCAGGCTTCCGGCGCAACAAGGAACAAACAATTAGCCTCCGTGAAACAAAACTAACAAACGATAGCGATCACGTACACTGATATCAATAAAGGATGGAAGAGCGACTTCACTCTCGATCGAAGCGCGGATATACTCGATCACTGCTGCCGCAGCGGCCTGCTCTCGAATTCTCCGATTCTCTGAAAAGTCTCGCAAAGTAATCTCGATGGAACGCATTGACCTCGTGATTTCATCACGGGATTTTTCCGTAGCTTCCTGTAGGAATCGTACACGCCTCTCCATCAGATCATGTTCGTACTTGATCCCATTCAACAAGTTCACTTTGCAAAAGTCACCATCTGGAATATCATCACCACCTTCTACAGTCTTTTGAGTTGCATCGTTAGCAATTGGAGCAATTGCTTCCATCCACGAGCCACATCGCTGGAGAACATGCCCATACTCCGCCAATAGCTCAGTCATAGTCAGAGACTCTGCCATTGCATCCTCACTCGTTGCGGCCACGTTAGTTGGAGCCACAACGGCAGGGGCAGGTGCCTTCACTTTCCCCTTCTGAGCAGCTTTCCCTGCTGCGATGGGTGCCGACGGAGTTTCTACCAAGATTTCATTCGCTGGGTCGCGATAAACTCTGCATGCCTGCTCCAAACGTGATTGATAAGTTTGCCAGATCTCGACAATTCCACTTAACTGAGAGCGATCACTACTACTCGCAGCGTAATGTCCATTGACTAGAACTTGAACAGACGTCCGGAAGCGATCACATTCTGCCTGGAGCGCCATTTGATAAATCGCAGCGACTTGTTGGCATGTGTCTTCAGTCCATCCGTCACCAACCATACTACTGAGCCCTTCATCGTTTTCTTCGGTTTTAGTCTCGATGAGAGATACCAGTTCATCTTGAAGGATATCTGCACGAGCGTGAAGCTCTACCTTTGTGGGGTTATCAAAGCGCATCTCATCAACCACCTCGTTAAATAGCCGTTGGAATTCATTAACGATTTCTTGCTTTCGGTCGGGACGGCGAACGAACTCGCAGAATTCACTCGTTATTAGCTGTGCACGTTCGGTCACACAATTTCGCTGCTCTCTTAGTCGCGCAAAACTTGTCTTCATGGTAGTAATATACTCCGCCTCCATTTCATCCCACAATGCCGCAAGCGCTTGGGCAATTGCTGGTACCAACTCTCCAGAGTATTTACTGTTTGGTACAGGACGACTCGATATCTCTTCTTGCATCCAGCTCTTCACAGCGGCCAAAACACCATCGAGGTGACGTTGAGCTTCCTCTAACTTCTGTCGAAGTTCCGCCATCTCCTCTTTCTTTGCCTTTGCTTCCTCCGCTTCAGCTATGGAGGCCTCAGTTTTGATAACAGCTACCTTAGCCTCGTCAAGTTCTGATTCAAAGATGTCCAGACGTCGTTGTCGTTCGTCCTCAGTTGACATATGAATTTGCTCATCTGCCTCATGCTGGAGCTGCTTCGAGTTTACTTCATCTTGTCTCTCTTTCAGTAAATGATCCACAACACTCGAAACAGCTTCATGTACTTCATCTGCTGTCATTTCAGCGTCTGAAGGCTCATGAAGTGTGTTGAATTTCGAGTACCAAGTCTTGTGATCGTGCATGAATCCATCGCTCGCCCAACAGTGAAGTGATAAAAGCTCACTTGAAAACGCGCTTGGGTTGACATGCTGCAGTCGATGCCGTTCAGTTGAATCATCCGGTGGTGGATCAAACACTAAATGACGCTTGTCTCCTGCTACGATATCCTCAACTCGACCCAAGCATCGGTCTAACACCGTGCCAATTGGACAGTCCAAATGGAAAACCAGATCAATCCCAGATTTACCTTGCAGGAATGTCAGAGATAACGGTGGCTTACTGCGACCTGGAGCAATGGCAGATTCAAAATCATACGGAGAAGAAATATCTGCGGGGTCTTTATATCCTGTGAGATGCTCCTCCAAATTCTGGCCGTGTCGAGCTGTTGCAGGCAGATCGTAGACAACCCAGCCAGCTTTACTATTACTGTCTTGTGTAAGCGCTTGAGTTTCAATCTCACTGATAACGTCGATCACTAGGCGGCTGTAAAGCTCCGGGGGAATTTCCTTCCCGTTGGAAAGAAGATCATTCACTTGCTGACCAATCTCACTTAAGTTTTGAACAGCAGTTTGAATGAGTTCATGGACAGACAGCACAACCAGATTATGCGTTTCACCGAGAAGCTTTGCTTGTGTCTCCTTTCCGGCAAAAGGAGGGCCAAAGATCAGAATTCGGAGTTGCTGATGTGATAGCAGTACAGGTCGGTTAGTGCTTGACACAGCACTAATTTCGTCAAACTCGTCTAAAGAACGAGAAATCCACCGCAATGCCTTAATTTCTTCCCCAAGAACAAAGCAGTCCTGTACAATTTCCGTGGCCCCGGGGAAAAGATATCCGTCGTTGCTTGTCTCTATGGGACGCTGCCGATCCAGTGTGGAGTGAAATGACAGGTAACTCGACAGATATTGTTCCAGCTCTTGGCTATCCAGTAACTCAGTTTGACTTGACTCTGCAGAAGCAGCGTACGGAACTGTATTTTCAAGTTTGCAACCGTTCGCAAACTTGACTTTGTACTCATTCCATGTCTCCAAACTTAGGAATACAGCAGGGTCTCTGGAATGCAGCGTTTCCTCCCGTTTCCCAGCGACAAACAACACGAAATCCACCATTTCCTTCATAATAGCGCTTGAAATGAGCTTACTAAGAAAGCCATCTGCAGCTTCAATGGAAACTTGGGCATCGTTTCGTTGCAAAGTCTGCATCTCGCTGTCATCCTCGAATCGAAGGAGTAAGTTGTGATAACAGCTAGTGTCTCGATCAATCACTGTTATGGAGTCCAATTCCTGTTGGTTCGCATACTCTTGATTTCGCATTGATCTGTTTTCACGAGCTATTTCCTTGTAGACGAGAATGTGATCCAGTTCATCTTGTATGTCCTTCTCGCTGTTTGTGTCTCGAAGCACCACATCTTCCAAAATACTCGCTACACGTGCGGTTCCTATTCGAGAGTGAGTACAAACGCATTCTTGAACAAATCGCTTTCTCCTGCGAGACAAATCCCCCTTGCGCCTTTCACGTTGAACTTTTTGTTGCTTGATCACACCCGACGCGCTTTCCATTTCTAGCACGTTTGCATGGTAAAGCTCTGCTTCGTTCATCGGTGATCCGGCCAAATGTGCGGTTGAATACTTATTCTTGTCGGACGATGCATTGAGTGCTGTGGTGAGTGAACGTAGACCATATCCAATCGATTTCCTCGAAGAGACCTTTCTACCTCCAATTCCAGCCTTCAATCCACCTTGTGCCTGTGAAAACATCAATTCTGTAAGCCTTCAAAGTAAACCTAAACGTTAGAGTTCGTGCCGTCATAACCTACATCAAAGTCGTCGAGATCACTTCGCACTTTCCGACGGAGACTGAAGGTAAGATTCTCCTGCAATTACAACCACGTCACACTGTTAGTGACAATTCACGCATACTCTTGCTGGGCTGTACGGACCTCCGCCTCTTCGCGCTTTTTCATCAGTTGGTGAAGAAAAGCAGCTCGCCGCTGCTCGCGTGCACTCTTTTTCTGCAGCGCTAGTCTCCATGCCGGCGAGTCAGTCTCTTCGAGTGCTTCTTTAATGTAGCTGCTGTGAATATAAGCGCGATGCAGTCTCTCCGCCTTCGTAGCCTCCAGGATCTCTCTCTGTTCCGCCATCCTCGCAAAATAAGAACCTCGCTTCTTCGTCTCATTCTCAACCCGGTCTCTACAACAGCAACATCCACGGTCAAATCTCTCATATTTACTGCTATTACGCAAACTGGCACCCACTTTTCTTGTTGCAACGAAATGATTGACCGCACTTGGCGACGAATCGAGTGCTCAAAGAGCTTGTGCGTCTCTGAATCATAGATGGGCTTCGAGAGCTTCATTGGTCTGTTGTGCAGAGGAATGATTCCCGTTCGCTCCAGCGATTTGGTCGAAACGCCCGGAGCTCTGCCCACTCGAGCTGCTGCCATCTTGATCTGGTAGAGTAGATTGGCGGCGGCATCCTTCTTCTCGTTCATGATGGCCACAGCCACATTGGCGTCAAACTTAATGTTGAGATTATGTAGTGTAGGCTCCAGCAAACAGAAGTTGACGACTTTGGCGTCAGCACTGGAGCTGCGCATGAAGTCGGCGAAGTTGTGCTGGTGGTTGAGACGGTGCAGAATCTCGCCTAGCAGGTAGCCGCTGGCAAAGTCGGACTCCACATCTGTCACGTGCATCGATAGCTCCAGCTCATGGTTGAGCCAGCGGAGCAGCAGCTCCGCCATCGTAGCGACCAAGATGTAGCTCAGTACCCCTTGGCGAGCGTCGAGCCGTCGGTGCGAAAGGGCGTCAAAGTTGAAGTTAAGTTGTGTTATGTACACAACAGTCCATGGATTACGGAATGTTGATTGACGTACATCGCGAGCACAGCTCAGAGCTTGTGATTGACACAGCGGCGGAGTAAATGACGGTTGCGACCGCATCACTAACCTCGGTGAAGCGGCGACGCACCGGATGCAGGTAAGCCATGTACAGTGTTGGTCTCGACACCGGGATGTTACCAACGCTCGCCGCTTTACTAGCGAATCTACTCGAGGCGAAGACAGTTTTCAGTGCTGTAACAGCGAACAGTGCAACGCTGGCATCAACTTCTGCAACCCTAACCTTAATCTGCGGATCACCTACGTTTTGCACTCGCCATTCATGGCCCATGATGCGTGCGAATCGGCTCTGGCTATTGAGCGCACAATGCTACATATACCCGTACCGTTGGCATGCGTCGAGCCCAACGTCACCAACGCCATATCGAGGTGACTATCATCGGCAGCGGGAAAATATAGCTTGCAAGGTGAAAGGCAATAATATCCCAGCCTGGTTTACTTCTCCGAAATTATCGAAGGATATTTTTTCGGCCTATCACATGCTAAACCCTGTGCAAATCGATTGTCAGACCATGTTTATGAAGCGCAGAAGCCTAGCTGGCTGCGTCCCAGAATCGCTTTCACTGTCCACCAGGAAGGCAGGCGCTGAGAAAGCCAATCAACTTCTCGCGTAGACACGGGAGCGCACGTGCTGAAGCTGCCGACTATCACCGCCCACATCGTAATTTGCTACATGACTCAAAGATCAGCTTTGCTGCAGCTATAAGCGAAATCCCACACAGCGAGAAAATAGACCGAGGCAAAGATGACAAGCTACGGGGCCCGATTGTCAAAGAAAATGCCGTCGTATACTGGCAGTGTGTCCGAGGAGGACGATCCCAGTCTCTCCGCCGAGGACGAGGAAGTGGACGAGACGTTCGTAGCACTGCAGAAACTACTGAAGGCGCTCAACCGCACCAACCGTGGCAGCGTTAGCAGCAACAACGGAAGCTTCCTAGGAGGAGGTAGCAGTAGCGCCCAAGTTGCTCCCGCCAGTGACAGCTCCAATCAGCAGCAGCGCATGTCCCGTGAGGAGATGCTCGAGACTCGACGACAGGAGCGTGACCGTTTTCGCCGCTCACTCTTCGCCAAGAACATCAACACCCACCGTACGCGTCGTCGCCGCACATGTCCGGCCTACTACTGTTCCGAAGAGGAAGAGGAGGAGGAGACGTCAGTGCCTTCAGTAGAGAGCACCATTTCCAGCAGATTCATGAACGGATCCTTCTCCACTCTCAACGTGCACGTGATCTCGCGCGACCGGTGGTCGACAGAGGACCGTGTTATTGAGCGCCTCCCAATTGTTATGTTGCCGAAGAGCGGCAAGATCTCGATCCCCACCGACAACGAAAAGATCGATGTCGTACAGACGGATGAATATATTGACCTGCGCGAGAAGCTCGTCGAGAATATGCCCCCAGGAGCCTCAACTCTGCACTACCTCACGCCACCGCGCTCTACATGGTACATGCAGATGCATGACTTCGAGGGGCTCAAGTGCTAAACAGACTGCGTGGTTGGTCTGCGCAAGAAGGAGGCCAGACTGATTTTTTGAAGAGAGTCACCTCGTGCTGGCTGGAGAATGAGAGATTTTACAGCGACGAGACTCATGCAGATGGAAGCGAACGAGATGCTTCCTCAACGCCATCCTTGTTGTGGCCCCCTCGGGAGATGCGCTTGTGCCTTCATTAGAAAGGATAATGTATTCTTATTTATCAGGCAGCGAGGGCCGGTGGCAAAGATGGACTCTGCGTGAGCTCACAGTCCACATTGTAGCGAGCAAATAACCATTCAAAAGCAAGATCACTCTAAGCGTTATCCTTGTTGAAATGTACCTAGGTTGGCTATCCTCGACCCAGCAGCACTTGCGGGCAGTCTACTTAACTATTTACAGCTCCTCTTCGCTCGGAATCAACGCGGCACGGTACTTCTCGTACGTGACGAAGAAGACAACGCACCAGGGTGCCTTACGCATCCAGTTAGGGATGAAGCCCTTGTAGAATGCGCTCGCACCACCCTCTTGGAAAGTCTTCCGCACACAGTCCATCATGCCCTTGTAGTGAAGCCCCTTGCCGCTCGCATCTGTCGGCTGGCTCATGAGGCGCGTCTTCACCACGTCGATCCTGTCCACCGCAACAAATACAAGGTCAGATCCAACATTTTCGACCTGCAGTAATTCAAGCCACAAACGTACGGGTTGGACGCGGCAGCACCGGCGAAACCAGCAACGCAACTCGCGCCAGTGTGTGCGAGAACGCCTTCCTTAAGCAGTCCAGACGAAATTAGCAGCTCCTTACTGTGGTCATACGTGCCCAGTTCAGCAGCGTTCACAACGAAGCCGCGCTGAATGTTTGGTGGCATACCACGCAAGAATCCGCGGAAACCCTCCCGCTGGTAGATCATGCTGAACGCGTCACCGACTCCTCGGTACAGCTTGCCCGATCGATCCGCCTGCATCCGAACCTTAATGACATCCACGCTATAACATCAAAAGAATAATTAATTAGTCTAAGCTCCTACAGAATCAAGAGAACGTTATCAACGTACGGGTTGGCGATGCTAATGCCGATGGCGCCGGCGCAACCGCCGGCCAGGAACTTATTAATGAAGGGCACTTCACCATTCGCACCTTGAGCCGAGTTGGCTCCAAAGAAGTTACGCAGCGGTTCGTAGAGCACCATACAGATGCTCGTGTATGAGACTTGACGCAGTAGCGCGGGGGTGGCACCATTCCAGAGCGCACCAGGGCCCTCTTCCTTGATCATCGTCTGTGCAGCGTGGAGCATGCCGTTGTAGTGTACCGCCGGCTTGCTGCCCGCCATGGATCCAGAACGCTGCGCCTGCAATCGCACCTTGGTGATGTCAATGGGCAGAGTGAGCAGCTCGGCGGTAGCCGACGCTGCGCCGCCGGCGAGGAAGCGCGTCCACTGCGGCTCGATCACCGTCTTCACCTTGAGCGGAGCCTCGTCCTTCACGCCTGCTTGAGTAGCCATGTCTAGATTCTAGACTCTAGAACAAGGGTCTGGAAGTGCTACCGGTAGTAGCTCGTAGTGGGACTCGAGAAGGCTGCGAATCGGAGAATGACGTAGACCAACTGAAGTGTCAGGGGCCGTCAACGCCTGCACATCAGGTCTGCTGCTCTTTGACCGTCTTTGCCCGCTGCCAAACCACGAGGTGTTGGCTTGCAAACGCCCAGTTTAACGGCCAAGCACCGGCGGAAGTGCAGCGAAATGGGCTTGGCTTTGTTGCCCGCATCTGCTGCGAAATTTGAATCATGCATCGAGATTCATCGTCTTTGAAAGCTTTGTTTCGCTGCAGGGACTCATCAAACGGAAAACCACCCAGGACCGTTCGGAAGACGAGAGCGTCGCACGAAGCGAAGCTCGTTGTCGTGGACGCTGCGCTGACGTGACGGCCTCGCAAGGCGACGTCTAATAGCATAGCACGCTGCTGTCTAAATGTCCATCCATTCTGCTAGGGTGAAGGCCGCTGGAGCGACTGCCAAGATGGCAATGGAGCATCTGCTATCTGTAAGGCCAAAGGATACGAGTAGTCATCAGCAACAGCTGAACGAGCTGATACTAGTTGCACCATCACTGTGGTGAGCAGATTCTGCCGTGTCACTGGCGAGCGCTGGATCAAAGTTGTGGAAGTTTGCGACGACAATAGCGGCGCTCCTGGTGGCGCTACAACCTTGGAAATCCCTGACCAAACCGGCCTGCTCGAGATGTCGTGTCTTTCCGCCGTTAGAGTACATCGATCTTGTTGCAAGCCTCACCACCGGTCACCTGCACCAACCTCACAAATTCTCGGCGAGCATCGATAGGCAGACACCATGACATTATCACCTTAGTCGAGCGCCACCACTAACGGAGAATACCCGCTGGAGTATCTGCTGTTGCAGCGCAAACAAGTAACCAAGTCTCGATCGGAGAATGTATACAAGATGTCCAACGGAGACTGCAATCTGGATTTTTGTGATTCCTACGTGTCTCGCTTGCCCGTGTGACTCAACAAGCTTGCAATGCTCTCAGCTGAAGAAGAATACCCACATGCATGAGTCATGGTTGGTATTCTTCAGTTTTCTTGACGAGTTAACCTTTTTTAGAAAAGTGCTTTTTACTTGCCCGTTCTCAGCAGAATATTATAAAAAGTGCTTTTTCAAGTGTCCAACTCGCAAAGAGACAGCATTCGCGGCCTCAAAGCTCATCTGTCCGCCTCCATGCGCGTGCAAGCCCTCATCGCGCTATCCACGGCCGTCGCCTCCGCTTCGGCCGCTCGGACAGACCGCTCTCTTGGTGCTTTCGTAGACTGCCCTTCTGTGCGCTCAGACGGATCTCCATGCCTCTGGGCCGGTCAGAACGGAGAGATCGTCGACTCGAAGACCCTACGCGACCTCCTCGTCCAGCGCAACCTCGTGTCATTCAGCGAGCGCGACGGCCTCACCCGCAACCTGCAGGCGCACATGACGTACATCGAGGACGTGCACATGTACGCCAAGAGCGTGGGCCACGAGTTCTCGTACCACATGGGTGTGAACGAACGCCACTTGACGTCGTCCCCCAAGCGTCGCCTCTCTCCTCAGGGGCTTGTGGATCAGGAGGTCAAGTCGGCACACTCACGTCGCCTCAAGGCGGAGGCCAGCGGCAGTACAGCCTCCACCACTAGCACGGTGTCGAGCTCCGGTAGCTCCGAGTACTGGAACTGGTGTGACACAGACAACTCGTTCGGCTACAGTGTGTGCTCCTCCGTCAAGAGTCAGCAAAACTGCGGCAGTTGCTGGGCTTTCGCTGCGGCCGATGCCATTGAGACGGCCGTCGTCATCGCCGAGAACGCGTCAGCGGCTGTGTCGCTCTCTCCGCAGCAATTTCTAACGTGCAGTACGTTGGAGACGACACAGACCTTCGACTACTGCTGGGCTTCAGACAGCGGCGTGGACGGTGCCAGCTGGATGGAGACCGAGATAAAATGGGAATCACAGAATAATGGCTGCAATGGTGGCATGACTCACGGCGCCTTCATTGACGCGGCACAGAATGGGTGGGGGCTTGTGACCGAGCTTACAATGCCGTACGACGACTCCAGCTCGGGTAGCACGTCTTCGAATAATGTGTCATCGACGTGCACTGTGAGTGATAATGAGACGGCTGCCAGTATTACAGGCTGGGAACAGGTTGTGGGCACGGACTGCACGGCTTCGAACAACTGCACGACCTTGCTCCGCACCGCGTTGGAGAAGCAGCCGATTGCTGTGGCAATAAACTCGGAGGACCCTTTTGGTGAATACGCTGGCGGCTTTTACAGCTGTCCAAACGACGGCGATCTGTCTTCGAAGGACGATGTGAATCACGCGCTTGTGCTCGTAGGCTACGGTACTGACGCCTCGGTGGGAGACTACTGGATCCTCAAAAATTCGTATGGCAGCTCATGGGGAGCTAGCGGCTTCATGAAGCTTGTAGCAGACTCCAAGGTGAACTGCGGTCTAAACATTTTCCCCGTCATCCCTACGGGTGCATCGGCCGGAGCTGCGGCAACCACTAGCGTTGATAGTGGCGGGGATAAGGTCTTTGTTGGTCTCAGTCCGACAAATTGGATTGTCGTCGCGGCAGTGACGACGATTTTCACGATTGTGATGACCGCCATTGGCATGATCATCTCACAGCGGAAGCTCAAGTCGATCCGTAAGCAAAACTCTGTCATGTACGCGGGCCGTGCCCCGGTGAACGCACAGCAGACAATGGCGCACTAGGCTCGTTACCCATGGCGTCTGGACGAGCCGAGTAATCTGTCCGCTACGAACACACTAGTTTGACAATTCTGGCCGCCTTTTTGACTCGTGTAGCTTCATATTCATCAGAAACGATACATAAAACAATGTTAGCATTGGGGTAGTTCTGCTGGCGACGGCACTTACTTTACAGCGATGCAATTTCGCCTTGAAAATATGAATCAATCGAAGAAGTCTTGGTTTGCGTTCACTCGCGCGTAGCAGAGCGATAAGCCGACTGAAACATTTATAATACTTCCAGAGGAATTTTTACTGTTCGTGCCGAGCTGAATTCTTGAAATGCTGGCCTTCAGACACCGAAACCCTCTCCTGGCGCCACACAAGCAAGAGATCTGTACAGTGAAATTGTAGGTATAGAAATTCATGCAACACCATCACCTAGCTTTTCTCAACAACACCTGGCCAGCCTTTACAAGTTCACAAGCGACGGACTTTCGTCTCCCACCCACAGTTCGATTTGCCACCACGGACTCAGAGTCAAGCGGGTATGCAGATTCGAGCTATCACTTTCGTTCTCTCAACAGCACTTGTCAATGGTGCTGCCGTTCAGACCACGGGCAGATCACAAGGCACACTCGTAGACTGCCCTACTGTCCGCTCTGCAGAATCGCCATGCCTATGGGCCGGAGAGAATGGCCAAGTCGTTGATTCCCGATCACTACGTGAGCTATTCATTGAGCGCAACTATGTGGCCTACAGCGATAGAGAATCGTACGAACGCAACCTACAGGAGCACATGACGTATATTGAAGGTGAGGGCACTTCTACTCGACTCAGAGGCTCACAATCGATACTAACAGGAGGTTATTCGTGTATGTAGATGTGAACATGTACGCGAAGGAAGTAGGCCACGAGTTCTCGTATCACATGGGCGTGAACGAGCGCCATTTGACCTCATCGTCAAACCGCAAGTTGACACCGGAGCAATTTGTAGACCAGGAATTGATCTCCGCACACTCACGTCGTCTACAGGAAGCAAACACCACCAACAGCAGCACAATTTCAAGTTCAGGGAGCTCAGAATATTGGAACTGGTGCGATAAGGACAACTCGGTGGGCCACAGCGTGTGCTCACCTGTGAAAAGTCAAAAGAGCTGTGGTAGCTGTTGGTCATTCGTAGCAGCAGACGCGATCGAAACCGCCGTGGTCATCGCGGAAAACGCGTCAGCGGCCGTGTCCTTATCGCCGCAGCAGTTCCTTACGTGCAGTACGTTGCAAACTACTCAAACATTTGAGTACTGCTGGGCTTCGGACAGCGGCGTGAATGGTGCCAGCTGGATGCTGACCGAGATCAAGTGGGAATCACAAAACGACGGGTGCAATGGTGGCATGACCCACGGAGCATTCATGGATGCGGCTCAGAATGGCTGGGGACTGGTGACTGAGCTTACAATGCCATACGACGACTCGAATTCTGGAAGCTCTTCGGCAACGAACTCGTCCGCGTCATGCACCGTTAGTGCGGATCAAGCAGCCGCGAGTATTACTGGTTGGGAGCAGATCGTGGGTGGTGACTGCACCGCCTCTAGTAACTGCACTCTATTACTCCGGTCTGCGCTGGAGAAGCAACCGATCGCTGTTGCTATCACGTCAAATGGGGGCTTTGGTGAATACGCTGGGGGGTTCTACAACTGCCCTAACAACGGTGAGATAGCCTCCAAGAACGATCTGAATCACGCTCTGCTGCTGGTGGGATACGGCACCGATTCGACAGTTGGTGATTATTGGATCCTCAAGAACTCGTACGGCAGCTCGTGGGGCGACAGTGGCTTCATGAAACTGGTAGCGGACTCCAATATTAACTGCGGTTTGAACGTCTTCCCCGTTATTCCTACCGGTGCGAAGGCCGGCGCGCAGGCGAGCACGGCTGTTGACAGCGGTGGTGACAAAATCTTCGTGGGTCTCAGCCCAACGGGCTGGATCGGCGTTGCTGCCGCGACCACCATTTTCACGCTGGTTACGACTGCGATCGGTATTGGGGTGTCGCAGCGGAAGCTGAAGGTTATCCGCAAGCAGAACTCTGCCATGTACGCGGCCCAGACTCCCACGAATGCCCAAAATGGGTATTAGGACACAAGCGAAGTTAACCAGTGCATTTTTGGTAATATACCAACATGGGAATATGAGCTCCAGTGTGAAAGCGCAAATGGAATGAACCATGAGCGCCGACTCCTGAAACACCAAAAAGTAAAGGATGTGAAGCGCAATAGAGCAGCGCTTGCACCCTATTTCAATTCCATAATCAGGCTGGTCATAGTGCTTTCATGTGGACGTGGCTGAGAATCCAGACACCGAGTCGCGTGCAACGTTGCAGGCAATCATTTCAACGATGGTCACGCCTGCGGCGTCCCATGGTGCGTGGGATGGTTCAACAAGTACCCCAGTTCGGGGCAGAGCCTCAGCAACGCCAATAATACGCAGGTCAACCGACATCAAGTCACCAAGATGATTTCAACCATGTTGCTTTTGACGGCTGCTCGAGTAAAGTCCATCATTAGCTCGTGGGTAAATTGCCCAATCGGCTGACTCACGACATCTTGAAGTTTGTATGGTCGTACCCTAAATCTGCCGCAATCAAACGCTCAAGGCAACAATCACTTGTTCCCACATCTGCCATTTCCGGCTTCACCTGCGTAGTCCCTAAGTGGTTTTGCCACCTACTATTTGCAACTGAGAAGTCAGTGGACGAACTGAGCAACTGTATATGGTGCCGGCGCCGTGGCTCACGTTGCTCGCGTTGACGGCGGCTGCTGCCGCTCCGTCGATGACTCAGGCGCAAGATCCATCCACCTTCGGTACGCTGCTGAGCTGCGACGACGCACGCTGTCTGTGGGCAGACCGGGATGGTATCGCAGTGCCCTCGGACACGATGGTGACACAGTTTTTGCAAGACGAAGGCATGGACGCAGGCCGGAGCGAGTTTCGGCGCAGAATGGAGGCGCGCGTAGACTACCTCGAACAAGTCCAAAAGCACGCCGCTGACCGGGACTGGGCCTTCTCGTACACTATGGGCGTCAACTCAAGGCATTTGTACCATGATGGTAGTCGGATGTTGTCGCCTGCAGATTTTGTGCAGCAGGAACATCGCGCGGCGCAGCGTCAACAGCAACGCAGACTGACAGAGCAGCGCAGACTCACCAACTCAACTCTCGACGTTCGCGAGACACTAGACTGGTGCTCGACGGACAATCCGCAGAACCAGAGCATCTGCACTGATGTTAAGAGTCAAAACCAATGTGGTAGTTGCTGGGCCTTTGCAGCAGCAGACGCCATCGAAACGGCAGTGGTGGTGAATACAGGAACGTCGCCTCGTTCACTGTCTCCGCAGCAGTTCTTGGAGTGCAGCTCCAGGGAGATGACGGCTACGTTTGACTACTGCTGGGCTGATGAGGGCGTAGATGGATCTTCTTGGTTGCTAACGAAAATGATCTGGGGTTCCAGGAATAATGCGTGTAATGGAGGCATGACCCACGCTGCTTTCGCCGACGCAGCGCAATTGCACTGGTCGTTATTGAGCCAATTGGACCTACCATACAACGAAGAGGACACCTCACAGGCATCCGCTGCTACTCTAGCAAACGCATGTGATAACTCGTCAACGGACAATGCTGCAGCTAGCATTGCTGGTTGGGAGCAAGTCGCGGGACCTTCTTGCGATGAGAGCAGCGACTCGACCGAGTTACTCAAACTGGCATTACAGCAACAGCCTATTTCAGTGGCTATCAACTCTGGTGGCTCTTTTGATGCGTACAAGGGCGGTATTTATACGTGCCCGAACGATGGAGACTTCGCATCAAGCGGAGACATTAACCACGCCATCGTGCTCGTCGGCTATGGCTCGGACGGTACCACAGACTATTGGATTCTCAAGAACTCTTACGGCGCGTCATGGGGAGAGAAAGGTTTTCTTCGGCTCGCAATGGACTCGAAGATTAATTGCGGGCTCAGTGTTTTCGCTGTGATTCCTACCGGAGCAATAGCTGGTGCTGCCCACACGGCCGTAGATGGAGGGGGTGCAGTTGAGTTTGTTGGAATGTCTCCTGATAGCTGGATTGTTTGTGGCATTGCAGTAGCTGTCGTCACGCTCTTCCTCACCGTGATTGGAGTCATCTACGCCAGCCGCCAGCGCAACGCCTTCAAGGAGACGCTGTAAATTATATCAATGTCGTGAATTAGTGCCACGATAGCCAAAAATTCCACAGAAACACCGATGATCAAGACAAGAAATGAAATTGTAAGTCTAAATAACAATAGATCAGTAGCTCACGACACCACATCTATCGGCTCAGTAGAGTGTTTGCTGTTTGATCACCGCTCAGGGTGGTCTACGCATTGTAAAGGCTGAATAGTAGGAAATGTACTTACGAAATACCACAATCTAATTGGCTGCGGATCACATTTTTGATGAAGACGTCTGAGATGCCTCCTTTTGATCGCTATGTCGATGCCCACGGGATGGAAGCGTACGACAACCAGGCTGGCCATGAGTTCGAGGTATCCGAAGTGGTGACGGGGACACCTTCCGACATTTTCGACGCGTGGATTCATGACGTCTGGCTTGCAGGCGGGCACCAAGTGCGCGAAGGTATCGGCCGAGGGTACGTCGGAAGTGTGCGTCGCGTGCCGCTACATGTAGAGGAGGAGATTCTATCGGTGGGAATACCCGAAGATCCCTCCCGAGACCAAAGCTTGAGCCTCAAAATTCCCTCGATCTGCTACCGAGTTCGCAAACCTGGTCCATTCCCTCTGCAAAGCCATCTTGCTATCGTGCGCTTTATCGATGCAGCTACGATCTCAGAGGTGGCAAATATGGCAAGTAAATCTCCAACGACATTCGTGGTATGGACGGTGAAGACAGAAATGTCGAGAGCGTGCGACTGGCTGCATTGCGGTGGTTTAATCCGCCTGATCTTCCGCACAGCGTTGAAGTCATTCCTGCGAACGCTAGCCAAGAAGCAGGCAAACAACTAGCTGAACGGTCTTTTCTATTGGTCAAATATCCGTTAAACAAAATGAGCTCATCTTTTGAATTGACGAGGAGAATGCATCGCAATCACTTGGACCCGACGCGGTACGTGGACACGAAGGCCTTCGAGGATTACCAGCACTATAAAGGCCAGGAGCTGGTGGTGTCCGAATGCGTTGTCGGTTCTCCCTCCGAAGTGTTTGACGCGTGGCTGGAGGAAGTTTGGCTGACTGGGGGCACGGAGCTGCACGAGGGCGTAGGCCGAGGTTATGTCGGCCACGTACGTGGCGCCCCGCTGGGTATTGAAGAGGAAATTATATCGGCAGGGCTACCCATTGACGAGCCTGTGGACAGTGATGGAGGGCGGCCGAGTCTTGCTGCAGCCCGACGTAGTCGTTCCAAGATCCCGTCGATCAGCTACAAGATTAACAAATTCGGGCTGTTCCCGATCCAGGATCACCTCGCGTTCGTGCAGTTCGTGGACGTCGCGGCGTCTCCAGAAAGCACACCGGCGACGCTGGTGATCTGGTCTCTCAAGATGGAACCGTCAACGCTGGGATACCTTCTCTGCTGCGGTGGATTTGCCAAAGTCATCCTGCGTTCGGCGCTGCAAGGCTTCCTCGGCACATTGGCAAGAAACGCTGCTACCAGAGCGGACCGGCACCTGGAATAGAGCTACATGGCGCCATTTTTGACCGGTACATTCAGTTGTTGGTCGTTAAATCTGCTTTGCGTGTAGTAAATCATTCGCTGGCGCCACTCGCGACAAGTGCTACGCATCCAGCTTTCGGTGGATCCAGAAGTAGATAATCTAACTGCCACAGCCGTTGCAAAGATACTTTCTTTTCATTCGCCAAAATCGTCATTATTCGCCTTCTTCAACAACGGATTAACTACCAACCGTTTCTAGTTATCTCACCTTTTCAACCAATCCCAGGTTATTCTTTCCTGTTTGCCAAACAGTGTTTGCATCATGGCGGATCGATACATCGATGTCGCCGGCTTCGAGGCGTACGAGGACAGCGATGGACAGGAGCTGGCACTGAAGCAACTCGTGGATGCTTCAGTTGATGAGGCTTTCGACGCGTGGCTGCGAATGGAGTGGGTTGGCCGCGGCTCGACGCTGAAGCCTGGCGAAGGTCGCGGACTAGTCGGTCACCGCCGTCTCGTTTCGTTGGGTGTCGAGGAACACATCCTCTCGGCCGGGCCACCGGACAACTCAGATCGAATCCCCACGGTGCGCTACAGCATTAAGAAGAGTGGTCCGCTGTTGTTAAGCGACCATGTGGCTCTCGTACAGTTCGTCGCGGACAGCACGGCGCCCCCCTCGCATCCCAAGACCCTCATTCTCTGGAACTCCAAGCTCACGCCATCCACAATTGGCAGCGTGCTGCTCTGCGGTGGATCCATCTCCCGCCTCGTGCTGAGGACGGTGTTGTCAAGTTCACTGAGCGAGATTGCGGCGTCGTTCCAGAAGAAATAGCTGTCTACACGTGAAATATGAAAGTCATATACAACAGAGTTTTGAGCTGGAATAAAGACCTTAGCGACGTTATTTGTTCGAATGAGCATCCGACGGGAGTACTTACTTACTTACTACTTGCTCAGGGTGTACTAGTCGAGCCATACAGGCATCAGAAGTGGGGGATTTATAATATAGATAAATGGAGCATCAACTTAGTGCCAAATAGCAGGCACGGCCTTTTCGATGATGGAGTTCGACAGTGCTCGCACATCTTGATCACGAGACCCCTCGAATGCACGTAGTCGGTTGAGACCGTCGTGCTGTAGAAGAGAGTTGCAAAACACCGTGAGTTTGTTCATGTCACGGTGATCCACCGACAGGTAGAAGCTCAGCACATCGTTCAGGACCCTCAATGCGCGCTTCACTTCATGGAGTTCCGGGACAGCAGCCTCGCTCTTGCTCTTCGTAATGGCGGCATTATCCACAAATGGTGTTGAAGATGTCGGAGACTGGGCTCGAGCGAGGACCGTTAATTCCTCGACACAGTCCGCTGGGTGCTCCTGCAGCATCCTCAGCCGATCGTCACTCAGATCCAGTGTGCTGTTTGAGAGCCGTCGGATGTTGGCTGAAGTAGAATTGGGATTGCCAGATATCGCCGCCGCCTGAGCTTCCTCGTTCGCCTTGACTGTGCCAGCGATCTCCTCCTCGAGCTTCCGGAGCTGCACTCGACGACGCAGCATGTTGGCTCGCTGGATGTTGGCTTGCTTGAGTGCGTCGCTTTCACTCTTGCGGCGACGGGCGTTACGGTCCTGCTGAGCGACCTGAGCTGCCTCGCTGATAATGTCTAGGGACGATGACGCGCTGACCGGAGGTGGTCGCACTTGAGTATGTCGTCGTTGCAGCCTGCTGTAACCCAGTCCGTCGTCGTCGCTGGAGCCGGACTCGATGTCCCAGGAGCCGAGCGACTTGTGCTTGCGCAGCAACTCGTGCGCTTTTTGGTTCTGCAAGTTGCGCTCCGAGGAGGCGTGTACCATTGCCGCGTACTGCTTGTCAAGGTGCTTCTCGTACTCGGGCGCTACCACAAAGTAGGACAGTAGCGCGACAGCGATAACCACGGCGCTTAACACCAGCACCACGAGTTGAGCCTCTGTATATCCGGAGGCGATCGCCATTATTGTAGATAGCCCCCGTTCTATCATGTCAACCAAAGAGAGGCGTTGTAGACTCGAAGACCTTCCCGTTCTTGATTAATTGACAACTGAGTGATCTACCTCCGTCCGTGGCAGCCACCCCTGAGTCACTACGCTTTTTGTCTTATTCGTGTGAGTCGGTGAGTCGGTTAGTAGCAGTCGAGACGACGTAAGGAATGCTCCCTTGGTATTCCCTCGCCTTTCCGTTGGATATTCTTTCTGTTTTTCGAGCGGCGGTCTTGGCCGGCTGGTATACTATTGCAAGAGACTCTAGTAGAGAGCGACAGACAAGTGTGCGGTGCGCTGTTCAGCGAGCCGCTTGGCTTTCGTTGCAGGAGGAAGGCGTTCTGACGAGTCGGAGGCCTCAAGGATGGCAGTCCGGTAGTTATTGCTGACCTAAAATGGAAGCTTTCGCCTCCTCTGCCCTATTCATTTGTAATCGTGCGGAAATATCCAAGCTTTAACGACATCAAGGCGGAGAAGTCGGCTTAACTTAGGTCATTCATCTCGCGCGTAAGTGCTTTAGCTTCGCGACTTGGACGGAGGAGATCTGCGATCTTATCGCGGCGGGCAGAGATTAATAACGTGAGCAATGTCGACAGGGGTGTTGACACCCTGGTAGGACATTTCGAAACGCTTCAACGCGCACACGCAACATGCACGCCAACCGCGCCAATCTCGTCTAGTGTCATGGCCATTATGACGGTCCGTCATTCGAAGGATCGTGCATCCGTTTTGCCTGCAAGTGTTCTTCACTTGTGACCGTGAATCGGCTTGAATTCGACAGCTCCAAGACTGTTTGTTACTGTTCTACGTGGTGAGGGTTCTAGCTAGAACGTGTTGAAGGATTTTAATCTCAGGCTCCTCTTGTTTTACAGGTTTCAATTGGATCCCACATCTCGGGTTTATAAAGGTTTATGCTTGTAGCACACGTCGTGCTGCACGACTGTATTCTCGTGATGACTCGCGAAGACGTATTGTACTCGAGTGGGCGAAATCATTGCGAGGTTAGTGTTGTCGCAACAATGAGGTCGCGAATAGTTACGGAAAACAGGTGCAGCAAACAACAGCCACGCTAGAGAACCACATAGAAGGAAGCGCTCAGCTCTGAGGCATACTCTGGCGCTGCACTTGGCCATTCCGAGCCGTTTGAGGTCATGAAACCAGGGCCAGCACGGTTTTTTATCTGGCTGTTCCTTTCGCTGACGTTGTCCAGTACGCGTGGTACCGCCATTGTCGATGCATCCGTTGAAGAGGGTAGCACAGAGACGACAAATTCACCGGGCTCGGCCCACCGCTGAAAGCCACGACCCACAACGTGCGGTTCGTAGTAGCTCCAATCCTCAGGAGTCAAAACGAATTCGACATCTTGGCTGGCTCCCGGTGCCAGCTCGTCCAGTTTCTTGAACGCCTTGAGTAATTTGGTTTCTGGTACGGACGCGCGCCGGAACTTCTGGGATACAAACACTAGCACGACCTCCTTGCCCGGACGAGTGCCACGATTCGTCACTGTGACTGCTGCTTTCAACGCTCCTCTTGTGGCATGAACGTGGGTAGAATTGAGTCGTAATGTCGAGTACTCGAATCTCGTGTAGCTGAGCCCGTGGCCAAATTGCCACAGCACAGGACACTCGTCAAACGGCTGGCAACGCGTGTTCACACGGTGAAAATACGGCAGTAGCTGGGTACTACGGGCCGGATAGGTAATAGGCAACCGGGCTGACGGGTTCACATCCCCAAAAATTACGTCTACTAGTGCTTGCCCGCCCTGTTCGCAAGGCAGCATGCTCAAGATAACAGCGTCGGCATGGTTATGGGCCCCCTCAAGCAAGCGGGGGCGACCAGAAATCAGTACGAGCACCACCTTGGTCGAGTTGAGTTTAGTGAGCTCTTCAAGATACCGCAACTGTCCAGCAGGTAAAGCCATACTCCCGAGCAAGTCACCAGTCTTCTCCGCATAGTTTGGTTCACCCAATACAACTAGGGTATACTCACTTTTAGCAGCAAGCTGAAGTCCCCGTTGAAAGTCGTGGGGGTTCACGTTGCCATCAATACCAACCACTTCGAGATGGTCTACCTTCATATGCCCACCGGCAGAAGCTGCCTTAGCCTGTATGGCTTCCTTGAAAGTCAAACCATTGGGAAAAATTGTCGAGTCGCTGGATCCCTGCCAGAACACGGACCATCCTCCACATTGGAAGCCCTTGTTGTCCGAAACAGGACCGGTGACAAAAATATTGTTCGCTTCCGTCAGGTCAATAGGCAAAGCGCTGTTGTGGTTCTCGAGGAGAATAGCTGACTCCTGAGCCAACTTTAATGCGTCTGCTTGGTCGGCAGTATTGCCAACGGTGGACGCAGTACTCATCCAGTCTCGTTCAAAGTTATCGTAATAGTCTGGCTCAAGCAGTCCGAGGTCCCGTTTGGTTTCCAAAATGCGCCGCACAGATTCATCAAGTCGGCTCTCTGGAATAAGCCCCTTCTCGAATAATGACTCAATCGTGTCACCGAAAGCCTGCAAGTCTGGTGACATATTCATATCGAGAGAGGTTTCTTGCAGGGTCACGCGAACAGCCTCAGCCACGCTGGGCACTAAATGGTGTTCCGAATACATTCGATCCACTTCGCTATAGTCCGAGACCAACAACCCCGAGAAGTTCATATCATGCCGCAACAAGTCAACCAATAGCTTTTTACTGGCAATCACGGGGACGCCATTCACTGACACGTAGCTCTCCATTGCGGTACGAACACCAGCGCGGACTGCAGCTAGGAATGACGGTGCGTAGTAGTTAACAAGCTCCCAGTCCGTAATGACATTGTCCGCACGGTCAAGACCCTCACGAACGTTCGAGTATCCTATAAAGTGCTTCATACAGGCTGCCACTTTGCCCGAACTCTGGAGTCCTTCGATCAGTGCCGCTCCCATGACGGACGATACCAAAGGGTCTTCCCCGAACGACTCGTAGACTCTGGACCATTTCGGTTGCACTGCGATGCCAAGCACCGGACTGAAGATCCATGGAATACCAGCACTCAGTGTGTCCTTAGCAGCCACAGCACCCATTTTGTACACGAGCTCGGGGTTGAATGAGGCAGCAGCACTGATAGGCTGACCAAATAACGTAGCACCCTGTACGTAGGTAGCGCCATGGATGGTGTCAACTCCATACAGCATGGGCACAGCAGCGCCCTCCTCCTTGTAGATATGGTGGATCTGGTGTATCACCTCTCGCCATTCGCTGGCGCTCCAGCCCGTACGTCCACCCACGGGCCCGCCAGCAAATGGACTGTTGAGGATCGAGCCGACACCCATACGAGCATACCGAGCCACTACGTCACGCTTCAGAGCCTTCTTCGGGTCCCTCTCGTCCCCGTCCATCATGGAATAAATATCCATCTGCGTCATCTGCGCCGCCTTTTGGTGGATCGTCATGTTGGCCAGCAGAGCATCGATATCAACGCCACTGGAGGTGATTGAAGGCTCCACAGAGCTTCGGAGATCCGCAAAAACGGTGGTGTTCGGATCGTACACACGCTCATGAGCAGCAGGCGATGCAGTAGCGGCGAGAGCGAGCCACGATGCGCTATTGCACACCCAGCAGAGTAATCCCAGCACCAGATCCACGTTCATTTTCTGAGCAGCCTGTCACTTGGCTCAATCGTACTTAAACAAGATTTAAACTGTTTGCGCAAATTTTGCAGAGCTTGTTGATCTGAGCCACCAAGAGCTTCAGACGCCACATTCGAGTTTCGTCACGATGCTGCGGAGGTCTGTGCTACCGATGGCGCGTCGCGCCTTCCCGCGGTCTACGGCCGGCCTTGCGTCGACCAGCGCTACCCCCAAGTACTTCTCACGTGCCTTCAGCGTTGCGGAGCAGAGTCAACGCCACGTAATCGCCGCGCTGGTGGTCAACCAACCTGGTTGTCTGGCAGAGATCGCCAACCTCTTCGCTGCTCGAGGTGTTTATTACAATGCAAATATTTCTGCTTATCGTGAAGGTTCTAAGTGTGTTGTGGTTTAGGATACAACATTGACAGTCTCGTGGTTGGTCGCACGGAAGTCGAGGAGCTCTCCCGCATGACGGTGGTCGTCAACGGCACTGCTCAGAGCGTTGTGAACGTACGTGCAGTAGTTACAGAGATGGAAGGAAATATGGCTGACATTTTTCTTAAATTTTTCTTATTGCAGATGAAGAAGCAGCTCGAGGATGTCGTGTACGTGGCTGTGGTCAACATCCTCAGCAGCGGCAAGAACGCCCAGAAGAACTACGTTGAGCGCGACCTGATGCTGGCCAAGGTGTCCACGGCCGGTACGTTTTAACGTCGATGACATTACCTGATACCCCATCGCCACCGGAATCTACTTGTACATGGACCTAACGGATGTGTTACTCCGTACAGAGGCCGGATCTCGCGCTGAGGTGGTGGAGCTTGCCAACCTGTTCGACGCCAAGGTGATCGACGTGCGACCGCACCAGGTCATGGTGCAGCTGGCTGGCACTCCTGGCCGCATTGAGGCGTTTTTGGACCTGCTGAAGCCGCTGGGCATTACTGAGATCCACCGCAGCGGAGTCATTGCCATGGCTCGCAGCACCAGTGTGACCGACAACCTTGGCGATCTTTCGACGTTTGAGGGCGCCACGCGCACGCTTTTGGACGAGGCAGACGACGTAGAGATCGACGTCTCTCGCCTTCCTCCTGGATAGAGGGTTCAAGAGGATACCGATAGCGTTTACGGTCTCGCGATCACGAGGACTGCATTCTGGGTAGCAGGCGAGTTGACAAGCAGTGGGGTAAGCATGCTAGCAATAATTGTGTCCACCAAATTGGTCAGCTACTCGTAATCAAATCAAATTGCTACATGAAAGAACTGTTGTAAAATGCGTGAAGGCGGCCCATGTTTTTATACGGGTTAGGTTAGAGCCCATACTGAAACAAGTAAAGTCGCAAACATGTTTAAACCATGGTGGAAACACGGATCCATGTTTTTTTTTTATTTTTGGGACGGGTGTCATGGCTCACAAATCCGTTGCAAATCACATGGGCTAAGTAAGGTAACTCGCAGCTAGCAATTGTTGCTTTACAGGCACTAAAAGCCCTTAAAGCACCAACTCAACGCATAACAGTGAAGTATAGACCTAAGAAAGGCTCTGGGGCTAAGTCTCCGGGTAGCCCAAGACTCTCAAACGCCACTAGTGTCGATTCCATTTGAGCGCTTTACGAGAGATTTGAACGTTGGACCCCCTTTTTTTCTCGAAATCATCTCTATATTATCGGTTTTGGTTTTGCGAAAAGCAAACTAATCCAATTACCCATAAATTAAATTTATTTTTATTGATCTTTAGTAAATTTGAATTTTCGCAAACTCAAAAATTATTGACAATTATTGTTTATAAGTGGTGTCATTAATTTGGTGATCATAAACGAGGATTTCTAAATAGTATCGTCATCCGCACTGAACTATTACACAGGGAAGTTGGGCTGATCATTCGCCGTCTGAGATTGTGTGAGCCTTTTCGGGGAAAGGATAACCACACCGGATGTCTGTAGCAAAATCTGTGTGTCCGGGACCAAAACATGTAAAGGTGTAAAGACATTTAAGTGTCTCAGAATGCAAATATAAGCCAGGTCACAAAATTTGAGTGGAGAGGGCAGTCTGCAAAAAGCAGCGCTCTGGTTGCCTCGTCTGCAAGGCGGTATCAGCTCAGTGAGCTCACTGCTGCACTGATGGTACGTATGCTCGCTTCCGTCTACATGTAGCTGACGTTATTATAGTCTTACGAAGGTACTACTGTATGTTGTTTCCCGTGCTGTGTCAGGCGTTGTCAGAAAGACTTAATTGCTCCCCAAGTCATTCAATGGGTGAAAAACGAAAGCGTCTAACTTCTACTGCTGATGAGCCCGACGAAAACTCTGTTGGTCAGTCAGGATTCATAAAGGAAAAACGCGTTCATAAGCGATCAATGCCCAACGACCAAATTGGAGCATCAAAAAAGCTAAAGGTGTCGGATGACATTAACATACCGTGTGGCACCAGCCCTGAGATGCCTGGAATGATGGCAGGTGGAAATGACAGCGACAATTCCTACGAGCGCGAGCTTTCGGACATTATGGAGTACCTTGATAGTGGTAAAAGGGGTATTCACCCTCCATTTTCTGCATGTACTTTGCAAATTAGGACAACGTCTGGTATTTCAAGTCAGCTCAGTGCTCAACCCAGGCAATCTGATGTCGAAACTACAAGCGAGTATGCGCTTAGCAATAGTGGTGATGCGGAAA